TTTAATGGGAGGGTATGAATACATTTGAGCAGAGATCACAGCCTGTGGAGCATCTTAACAGGAGACCGCATACAAACCTGACACTGTATTGACGAGTCTTCTTATTAAACCAGATTTAAATCTAATCTCTAAAACCTCGAACAGACTGAAACCTGCTGGAAACTATCACTGCAGCTTTTTGTCTCTGCCGCCTCACGTCTCAAACTCTCGTTACCGAAAACAACGCGAGAAACTGTGCGGTCACGTGACTACAGGACTACTCACGTGGCTGACTTAGCAACAACAACCGCGTAGTTCCTGCGGTAGTGGGGAGCAGTGGAGCCGTTCAGGGTGTTTTACCTGAAAGACTCGGGATGTTCCGTGTTTTGTGGCTGGTTGCCGTGTTGGACGCGGTGGTCCCGCTGGACGCCGGCATGCTCTTCCCCCGGGAGTCCTCCTCCAGGGAGCTGAAGGAGCTGAACGGGCTGTGGCAGTTCAGGGCTGACAGGTCCGCTAACAGGAACCAGGGCTTCGAGAGAGCCTGGTACAAAAGTCGGCTGGCTGAGGTGAGCAGGACTGGAGCGGACAGCAGCTCTGACCAAACGGAGCAGCTCACTTTGTTAAAGTGACAGTTTAAGAGATTAAAAAACAAACAAAAAAAACATCCTGCAGGCAATAAATCAGAAATCAGAAACAGATTTATTGCCAGGTGTGGTTTGCACAATACGAGGAGTTTGTTCTGGTGGGTTGGTGCAACAATAAATATACACAGTGAGGAGCAATGTACAAGATTAAAAATAAAAATAACTGTAGTAGTAAATAGTAATAGTAAATTGTGCCATAGCATGTATAAACATTAAAGAAACGTACTGCTTATTACCAGGCTTTTAACACAGGGGTCTCGAACTCCGGTCCTCGAGGGCCGCAATCCTGCATGTTTTAGATGTTTCTCTCTTCCAACACACCTGATTCAAATGATCAGGATCCTTATCAGGCTTCTGCAGAGCTTGATGATGAGCATTTGAATCAGGTGTGTTGGAAGAAGGGAAACATCTGAAACTTGCAGGATTGCGGCCCTCGAGGACCGGAGTTCGAGACCCCTGTTTTAACAGAATCACCCTTAATCATCTCATTATTGGACACTGCTTCCTATAGTCTTGTCAAATTGTGCTCATTTCTAAGAGGTTTAGATGTATTTGGAGATTAACATATTCAATATTCCAAAAGAAGAGAAACAAAAATAGAAGACGAGATAGAACTCTTGTCTTCTGGTGGCCATCCAAGACACTCCTGCCCCATTCACAGAGTATTCATCCCACAGTGTGTCTGTAGAATCTCAGTCCTCCAGGTCGTGGTAACCCTAAACGCTTCAGCAGCTGAACTTCTCTTTTTTGGTTGAAAGTGTTTTGCTTTTTCGATGAGAGGTGATGCAAGGACGAAAAAAGAGAAGTTCAGCTGCTTTCTACTGAAGCTCTTATAACAACCAAAACTATCTCAGAATAAACAAGTGAAATAGTTTTGATCGCAGCAATATTACTGCTAAGGATTATTATCGGTATCAGTAGTAACTACAAAACTCACCCAATAGGAATTTTATTTATTTAACTGTTATTTTACCAGGTAGGTTAGCTGAGAGCTGGTTCTTATTTTCAATAACGACCGGGTCAAGAGGCGGCACACAAACAAGACAAACAACAAATACAGATAACATGTACAGAAAATCACTTGTAAACTAGAGAGGCTAAAAACAGGGGCAGTGGTCCTGACGTGTTGCTCTAGCTGATTTTTTTAAACGACGAGAGCGGTACGTATGAGGTCAGCTTTAGGGAATGTTGCAAAGACTTTCAGTCATTAGAAAACTGGAGTGAGGATCGATCGAAAGTGGTACGGACTTTGGGAATGTGGAGGTTAATGAGACTGTTATATACTGGAATAACAGTGTTGACGTTTAATGCTCCTCAGACTGGTCCAGTGATTGACATGCCAGTTCCTGCCAGCTTCAACGACATCACACAGGACCCCTCACTGAGAGACTTCATCGGCTGGGTGTGGTATGAGCGAGAGGCGGTGGTGCCTTCCCGCTGGATCACAGACCAGGGAACCAGAGTAGTCCTCAGAGTGGGAAGTGCTCACTATAATTCAGTAGTGGTGAGTATGACATGCATCTTCCCACGTTGTCTGACCCATACAGTGGGATAAAGAGGAAACGAAAAGTCATCTGCATGCAGCTCATCCCTTCATAGTCATGTCTTGTAACAAGGTGGTCACTGTCTTTAACCTTTGCAGTGGGTGAATGGGCAGAAGGTGATGGAGCATACAGGTGGCCATCTTCCTTTTGAGGCAGAGATAGGCAGTTTAATCCGCAAGGACCCGACGATGACATGCCGGATCACCATCGCTGTCAACAACACACTGACTCTGGAGACGCTTCCTCCAGGAACCATCCAGCACATGAGCGACCGCTCCAAGTAACCTCATTGTCTTTAGTCTGAATTAAAAATAAGAGAGCTTAACTTTATTTTTAGAATTCATGTGACGCTTCAGCTGCTGTCATCACTTACAGCTAAACTTATGTGATATTTGCAGCTCTTTTATTTGCTGCCACTTAAACTCAAACTTTAGCTATTATTGCCAAACTAGCACATGTGAGAGTATTTCTATAATGAGGAGGATGTAATTGCTCTGCAGGTATCCTGATGGGTTTTTTGTGCAGAACATCTACTTTGACTTCTTCAACTACGCTGGGATACATCGTTCTGTTCTTCTGTACACTACTCCTAAGGCATATGTGGATGACATCACAGTGGTGACTGACTTCCTGGATAACACTGGTGAGAAGAAAAAAAGCACATAAATACAATGATTGCTAAAATCAGTTTTACCACCTCACCCATCACAACCACTTAAGCATCTGTAATAGAATAAACCTGTGGTGTCTATAAACATCACAGAGTGAGAGAATGATCTACATCACATGTAACTTATGGTTTAAGGCCATTTAATAGACAACGCTGTCTCCTCTGGATTCTAGGTCTTGTCAGATACAACATATCAGTCCAAGGTGCTGCCGCAGCCACCATGAAGGTTACTTTGATGGACAAAGACGGTCACTGTGTGGCCTCCTCCAACGAGGCGTCTGGAGTGCTCAAGGTGGTCGATGTCAAGCTGTGGTGGCCGTACTTGATGCACGAGAATCCAGGTTATCTTTACTCTATGGAGGTAAGACAACATGAACGCCGCTGCGTATTCACACAAGACTACATCTTCCAAGTTTGCCAAAACAGATCCAACAAAAATACTTCCTACCTTTTCTGCTTTAACATCCAGGTTCGCCTAATGGCAGGCGATGAGAGAGCAACATATGAGGATGTGTATGCTCTACCAGTGGGCATCCGCACAGTCAAAGTCACCAACACCCAGTTCCTCATCAACAACGAGCCCTTCTATTTCCACGGAGTCAATAAGCACGAGGACTCTGATGTGAGTACCACTAGAGGGAAGTAAAAGCTTTGCAGAAGACTCAGCCTAATGGAGCTTTGTGACACCATGTCTGTTCTAGTATTCACACAGATTACAGTTTCTGATAAATAAACATGAAATTTGCATCAAAAAATGTGGACAAAAAGGAAAATCTCATTCAAAAACCTAATCCCCATTTTTCTGTTTCCGTCTTTTTTTTTTTGTAGATTCGAGGTAAAGGCTTTGACTGGCCTCTAATCGTGAAGGACTTTAACTTGATAAAGTGGTTGGGGGCCAACTCTTTCCGTACCAGCCACTACCCCTACGCTGAGGAGATTCTGCAGATGTGCGACCGCCATGGCATCGTGGTGATAGATGAGTGTCCGGGGGTGGGCATCAAAGACATGTAAGTGTCACCGCTCACATCTCTGTGACCTTTGGGTGTGTTTGAGGTTTCAGGGTTGGTCAAGAGTGTAAACATCTAACTGTTACAGTGTATGAATACAAAGGACAGACTTACATGTTCATCAGCACTGATACTGAACACCTGACATGTTGAAAGGTCCTGGCTGAGTATCAGACTGGACACACTCACTGGAACATGGAGTCTACAGAACACATGCTTAAAGGGAATGTATGGAAGGGAATGTAGATGCTAAACGTTAATGTGTTAGGGTGCATCTCAGTACCTACACTACAATACTATATTGTGTGCCAAACAAAGATTTGGTTTGTCCCAATACACAGTAAGTCAAATGTAGTACGCCAAAAATACCAGGAAGTCTGACTACATCCAGTCACAAATTGCAGCATGTAAGCTAACATGCTTTTCTGGCCAACCTGACCATAATCCTCGGTGCAGTTATGTCACATATTTGGCAAGTACAAACCAGCTTAAGCTGCCAAGCACGCACAGACGGACGATGGTTAAATTCGCATTACAGACTGTGATGGTCAAAGTTTAGGGCGCTGTATTATGACAGAGTAGCATGTCCCAGTTGTATGAATTCTCATTAAAACAATACATAGTGTGTGTGAGGGCTGCTGCAGTACGTAATTAAAGTGAAAAGAAAAAGTACGACATTTAGAATGCAGTCGTAGTGTTGCCGTTCTTGGTGTGTTAGCATTTAGCTCAAAGCCCTGCTGTACTGTAACAGTAGAGCCTGTCATGGCTGCTAGTTTGACTGTGAGGACAGTTTTTAGGAGCTGAACAGATTCACATCTTTACAATGTAAATCTAGTTTGTAAGCATCAGGTTAGCTTCAGCTGAACTTTTTTTGCATTGACTTGGATAAAGTATAACATTTTCAGAGGATTATTTTAATCATAGAGCTCATGTGCAGGTGTTCCATCAAAACAATATCACTCGTCACTATCATGAGGGAACACTGAGGCTGCATCCTGGGCTTAGCCCCGCCCACAATGACAGGCCAGATATCAAGGGATGTGAATACATTAAATTTTTCCCTTTGTGAAATACTAAAAGACACTTTAAATGTTTCTGACAAGCAGAACAGTTGGAGGCTTTGTCTGGTTAGTAGCTGGAAACTTTGGATGGATCTGGTCTGTTGGTCTGTCAGCTCAGTGTGTCTTTTGTGCCTTGCTGATATAGTCGCAGTTTTGGAAACGCCTCTTTGGCCCACCACCTGGATGTCATGGACGAGCTGGTACGTCGGGACAAGAACCATCCTTCTGTGGTCATGTGGTCTGTAGCCAACGAGCCCGCTGCAGAGATGAAACCTGCTGAATTTTATTTCATGTGAGTACTAGAGATTTTCTTCTTAGATGTGAAGCACTGAATATATCCAGTCTTCAAATGTTCATTACTACAGAGACAAACTTTTGTAAACATGCAGTGTGTCTGTAGATGAGATACTTTCCTGTTTGCCAGTTAGTCGGTCCCTATACTGAGGAATGTAGGAGGAGCACTACTGTACCCATCAAGTAAAATGGTTAGTGTGTCTGTGAATGTAAACACACTGATCAGCCACAACATTAAAACCACCGGCAGGTAAATGAAAAACATTATTATCTCATTACAATGGTACCTGTCTAGGGGTGGAATATATTAGGCAAAAAGTGAAAAGTCAGTTCTTGAAGTTGATGTGTTGGAAGCAGAAAGAATCTGAGCAACTTTGAAAAGGACCAAGGCCCGTGGAGGCAGTGTTACACTCTGGGCAAGGTTTTTCCGAGAACTTTGGATCCTGGTTTTAATGGGGATGTTACTTCGACACAGACACTGTTGCTGACCGTGCACATCCTTCATGGCAGCAGGACTCTCTGATGGCAGCATGATGCTCTCTGCCACACTGCAAACAGTGTTTAAGAACGGTTGGAGGAACATGAAAAAGAATTTAAGGTGCTGACTTGCCCTCCAAATTTTCCAGATGTCAATCTATCAAGCAGCACATGTGTGGGATGTGCAAAAAACCAAGTTTGATCCATGGAGGCCCTACCTTATACCTTCCAGGACCTAAAGGGATCTGCTGTTAATGTATTTGTGTGTGATGCCACAGGACACATTCAGAGGTCAGGGTTTTTCCTGGTTTAGAACGGGCCATTTGGTGGTGACTGTGTATGACAGGAAGCAAAATCGGTCAGTTAACAGTTAAGGTAAGGAGTCTTTGGTACCTATTTGACAAAAACCTCTGCCTTTTCCAGTTAAGCATAAGTATGTATATAAGGCTGAATTAAATGAAATCCATTTTGGGGGGGATTTATATAACTTTTAATGGCAAAAATCTCTTTTGGGAAGCTAAAAAATTTGGTCTGCTCTCGTGGAGTGTATGCCTTAATCTGCTGTTTTAGCAGCATGAATGGGAGCTACACCATATTTGGTATGTTGTGGCTGATCAGTGGATTTTTCTGCATAAACATGTGCTTTGTCAAACCACAGCTGGAACAGACAAGCTTCAGATTACACTACAGCAACAACACTTTGCCTGTCAGCGGTTATATGTGATACCTGGATAACCCCCTCACTCTGCACTGCGCTGACAACATAGTCACCTGCATTTTGTTTTTCTTGCAGGACTTTGATAAAGCATACCAAAGCTCTGGACCCGACCCGGCCCGTCACCTATATCACAGACAGTAACTATGCCCGGGACAAAGGGGTGAGTCGCTGCTTTCACCTCAGTATCAAAGTGAAAGCTTCCAAGTTGTGTGAGGACATCACTGCTGGGTGTGGTCTGAGACAAAAGAGAAACTACTGAACAACCTTGTTTAAGTGACGATTTAAAATGCATTTAAAATAATGTAAAAAAAAATGTTGGCTACCAGTTAGCAGAATGTGTGAGCTGCTAATAAGTCATATTTTCAAATACTGAAACTATACTACAGTATGTGTGACAGTGCTCATTTTGATGCAGCTCACTTGTCTGAATTGTGTAGCAACAAACACACACTGAGGGGCGCATACTGATGATACACTGAGACACAAGCTTATATGCATTCGGTTTAGAGTGAAGACGACTCACGCAAGAGGTATGTGCAGATAAAAAAGGCAAAATATATCTTTGTGCCTCTCAGTGCTGCAAGTCGGATCATGTCACCTCCCAGAATGTTCTCATACGTTAACACAGGGGCCTCTGGTGAATGAGACAGAGCCAAATAAACAGTGAGGGAGGCAAAGTCAAATTGTGCAGGTATCTTCACGGTTTTATCTGTTTGAATTCAGAGGCCCATGTTGACCCAATGTCTAACTAAGCTGTTGACATGCCTGAGATTTTCACATTCCTGCACAGTGAGGAATATCTTTCAGCATGTTCTCAGTAGCTTAAAGGAACCAACTTTCCTGCTTCTTTGTAAAGACCTGTAGCTGAGTTAATACCTCTGAATTCACTAATCATTTATGGAAGAGCAAATAACAGCAGTGACAGCTACTTTACAGACTTTCATATTAACGTATTGATAGAGTTCAAAAAGGTGACCTTTGCCTTCAAAAGTGTCAGATTGTCATGAGTGTCAAATATGAATGATTAGGTCGGTCCACATGAAGTCATCGTCACTGCCTTTAACATAAAATACTGATCGAACCAGTTTAACAGCAAGAAAGTCAAGAACACATTGAAGAAACAGCTCTGCAAGTCTCTCTTTGTTGTTTGTCTCGTCTCCAGGCTCCCTATGTGGATGTGGTGTGTGTAAACAGCTACTTCTCCTGGTACCATGATCCAGGTCACTTGGAGGTCATCCCTATTCAGCTCAACGCTCAGTTTGAGAACTGGTATGGAAAGTACCAGAAACCCATCATCCAGAGCGAATATGGAGCGGATGCGGTGTCGGGGCTTCACAGTGTGAGGAATCTCATACACACACACACACACACACACACCTACCTGGCTGTGCTGCACCTCCAGTCTTATTTACTTTTTTTTTTGTGTGGGTTTTTAAGGCTGCGCTGAATGCAGATTGCAACAACTGTGATCGGCCCACTTGGTAGTAATATGCTGGTTTAGCATGGCACAGTAATTTGTGCAAGATAATGCTTCAGTGAAACAGCATGTAATATGTAACAGGCTCTAACTGTATCTGGCTTGATTATAAAGCAAACACAAGGGCCATTTATCTGACACTGTAGCTATTTGCTGTTTCTCAGTTTTCAATGCGTCACCATTCGGTTTATAGACGGAAACAGCTCCGGTGTCTTCTTTCTTTTCTGTGCTGGAATGATTTTGTTCAAATAACTGCTGAACATTTATTAAGCGCAGCTCCAACATGATCTGCTCTGTTTCAAGTACATAACGAAGCTCAACACATCCATCTGTTATCTACACACCACTTAATCCTCACTAGGGTCACAGGGGGGCTGGAGTCTATCCCAGCTGACTCAGGGTGAAGGCAGGTTCACCTGGACAGGTAACCAGTCTATCACAGGGCTACACTTAGAGACAGACAACCAAGCACACTCACAGTCACACCTACGGACAATTTAGAATCACCAATTAACCTCAACATGTTTTTGGACTGTGTGGGAGGAAGCTGGAGAACCTAAAGAGAACCAACGCTGCACAGGGAGAACATGCAAACTCCACACAGAAAGATCCCGGGTGTCCTAACTGAGATGTGAACCTTCTAGCTGTGAGGCGACGGTGCTACCCACCGCTCCACCGTGCAGCCCAAGCTCAACACAGTGGCATTAAAAACACCATCGTTAACTAGCGTTTCACTGGTGACACTGCAGAGCAATAAGGTTTATTTTCCGTCCTCAGGATCCACCCATGATGTTTACTGAGGAGTACCAGAACGCAGTCCTTCAGAGCTACCACGACGTATTCGACCAGAAGAGGAAGCAGTATGTCATTGGAGAACTTATCTGGAACTTTGCCGACTTCATGACTGCACAAGGTACTGCAGCGTAAATTTGCCTGTTTATACAGTCCTCCTGTTTGTGTACTGAAGCAACGTTTGCTGCTTATTTTACTTTTAAAGAAGAAGTTGTCTCCTCCTGGTGAAAGTTGGTTCATACATACATTTTCCAACATGTACTGTGAGTGTTGCAATGATAGTTGTAACTTAAATGAATATCTAATTAGATTTTAAGATAAATTTATTTATAAATGCAGACAGTTCCAAAGAGTTCACATACTTTTTCCTCACACTGGACACAGGGAGATTTAGTTGGCATCACTTTAGCATCATTTAAGCCTAAAATGGGTTGAAAATGCCTCACAAGAAATCACTGACAAATCTGAACAATAAAACTATTTTTGCTGTTTTTGCTCACTCACAACTACTTATACTCAAATGCTTAACTTCCGAAAACCTCTAGTCTTTTTCCTGCTATGTTCATGACCAGGTTCTTGTCGGTCTGTCTTGTGTCTGCAGGGATCACTCGTGTGGTGGGGAACAAGAAGGGTATTTTCACCAGGCAAAGACAGCCCAAAGCAGGAGCATTCATCCTGAAGAAGAGGTACTGGAGGCTGGCGAATGAAACGGGCAGACTTCCTCCTTGGACCAAGTACCCTGTTCACTCTGACATGTTGTTGAGGTGTCCAGAACGTCAGAGGCTTGATCCCATGTAAGAACTACGCCTTCTGGAAAAGTGCTGGCCCTGAAACATTTCAGTGTGTACACACAAGGTCAGGCCGTCTTGAATTACAAACAGCTACGCTATTCCTTCAGTGTGAATCTAAAGAACAACTTGCAGGTCAGAAACCCCCTTTTTATTTTATATGTAGAAAAATGAAAAAAATATCTCAGTATGTCCACTACAGAGAAGTTTTAGTTTTTTATGCCAGTCTCAAAAACAGAACTTGGTCATGATGTCACAAGAGGGAGCATGGCCAAGCTAGCTCAGGTTTAATAATAAGAAATATGGTTCCTAGAAGTAGTTTTGACATTCAGGAGGTCATAAATGTTTATTCAGAAATATGAAAACAATTAGTCCTGGAATCATGAACCTGCCAGATGTCAGGAGATCAGGTGGATTGTGGTGTGAGGACAGAGCAGCTCAGGTGTCTTGCTGAGTGAGTGACGTTTGATAACTGAGCTAACGTTGTGTTGCACCTCCGTAAAGTTTGCCGTCATCTAACCGGGTAGAACAGAACTAGTGTTGGCTGCACTGATCAGCTGGTCGTATCAGGCCTGTCTAACACAAACCGACAGTTTTATGCTGCCTCATGGTGAGAGAGAGCTGACAAACAGCACCACAAGCTGCGTGAACTGAAGGAACCGACCAGCTATCAGTTCACATGTCCAAACTTAGACATCCCGTGCTGAACTTCATCGTATATCTGGAAACATAATCTCCTGTCTGAAGTGAACGCTGCACGTGTCTGTGTTTTACATTTCAGTCACAGCACCAGTGAACTCTTGTCTCTTCATGTGCTCAAAGCTGGCCCCAGCAGGAGAGCAGCTTCGTTAAAAAAGTACAAAAAGTGTGGACTTGACATCCTGACCAGCTGTAGTTTGGGGAACGCGCACAAATACGATAATTCACCATGATGAGAAACTGTGAAATGCAACACAAAGGGAAACTTTCTAAATTAGAGCCGCTTAGACTCACGACGACTCCCTCCTGTGACGAAAAGAGATTCTAAGAGCCCTGTTTAAAATCCTGCATCTGGATTTCTGCCTTTCTATCTTAAAAACATGAAATCGTACATTAACTTTTCAAATGACCAGAACAAGAAATATTGAAAACGTAACCTGCAAGTTGTTCTTGGAGAACTTCAACAACTAACACTATAATCATTTTTCCAGTCTGGAGCTTTCTGCAAACACATGTAAGACATTTTTAATGTACGTTAAAAATTAGCCTCTAGTGCCTCAACAAAGGTGAAGAGTTGTGACGTGGTGTCCTAGAGCCTGACCAATACGAGTAGGCAGATATTATAACGCTACCATAGCTGATATATATACAAAAGACAGATTGATACCAGATTTTTTTTTCCCCCATGAAATCTGTAATGAAATTGGCCCCAGTATCAGTCAGGCTCTACTGAGGACACACTCTGCTTCACAATGACATTTTTTTTAAGTTGAATTTTATAAATTGTATAGAATTTTGTCTTAGATGAGTTTGTTTCAGGTTTCACACAAAATAAAAACTGATCCACGTATATGTCCACACAGTAACACTGACTGGACCAACTGACAAACATTTGGCTCATCATTTGTGGTTTATTGATAATATTGTAGAGCGAGCAAAGGGAAGAGCTGGACAGTAAGTGTGGTTGCTTTTTGTGTTGTTATGTTACTAATTTTGTCTGAAAAATGTCTTCAAGGAGGCACAGATTCCTGCTGGAGCTACTGCTGTAGTTTGGTCAGCCATACTTGTAGTTTTCATTTATCCAGAATTTAAAGCAAATGAGTCCAAAGGTGCAGATAAATGCACACGTTTCACTGAAGTGTGACTATTAGTTCAATGGAAGCTACAGTCAGTGTCCATGTTTGTGAGACCAGAGCCTGAGTGAAGACTGACAAGTTCTAACAGGACATTCTGATAGAAACAAGTCAAGTGGAGCTTTCTGCTGTTGTCATTAATGAGGGCAGGTCAGAACCAACTACATCCATCAGTGTGAAGCTCTGCCCTTTGCTCCAGTGTGATATGAATCCAGCTGATAGAAGGGAGTGACCACGCTGTCCCCTCTCATTTATGTGTCTCAGGAGAGAATTTATAAACTAAACAGAGTTCGATGTTGGACGTTTACAAAAAATGTAATCTGTCATTTCTGTGCGTTGCGCGACCAATCAGAATGTATGTTTTTATGAAGGCGGGGATGTGATTTATTGTAATGCTGAATCAAACCAGAAAGGTTTTATTTTTTTAAAAGAGAAAATCAACAGATATTCTATTGCATTTGAAATGTTATTTCCATCAAGGTATTAAAGACAATATGCAAACTGTATTACTGTTTCATTATTACCTACATTGTACTCACAGTGCAGTTCTAATGTGTACTCCGGTACTTTGGCTCGATCCACTGGGCCCGAGTGTGTTCTAAAATCCACATACAAATAAACAGTTAATGTTTGTTTGTGTGAACGGTGGCGTGACTGCAATCAGACCACACATTATCAGCGACTTTTCCTGAACCCTCATCACACGGCTGACCTTTGTGTTACTGAATATTTACCCTCACCTTCTGATTACTTTGGACTTACAGTAGCTAGCAGTGCATTTACTTACCTCATAGACGAAATCTACGACATGAAAAACAATCAAAAACAGTATCTTTAGACACTTTTTTTCCTCCAGTATTTTCAAGACTTTTGGATTCGGTCCAGCTGTAATTACCGTTCACGATGACTGAGTTTCATAAGTGGATGTTGATGTGTCATTAAACTCACACTGGAACACGTCCATGCACCAATAAAACCTATCAGCACTTATTACACTTCAGGGCTGTCTGCCAGGCATGTCTGATCCACTGTAGATACCTGTTCTAAGTTACCCGGTCATCAAAGTTCACACACATGGTTGGAGAGATGATGAACAGTCATTCTCAAATGTATTCACAGCCTTCCATTAAAGAAAAGCCAAAACTCACAATAGTCACTCAAATAACTAGAAACTGAAAAAAGTAATAATAAATAAAAATTTGCATCAATTATAATTTAGTGAAATAAGACGTTGCTTTTGAATTGTGGTTGAAAAGAATAATTAAAAAAAAAAACTCCTGGACAAATTAGAGCACTTTGCTGATGAGCAGTGAAATCAGAACACCTGTCAACAGGTGCAGACGTCTGACTGAGAGTTACAGAAAACACCTGATGGCAGTGATTAAAGGGTTGTTCAACTAAATATTAGTTTATGGGTCCCATTGTGCTTGTTTTTTTGTTTTTTTTTAATATTTCTGTTGAAAAGCAATTTGTCAAAAGCAATGTCATGATTTTAATACAATTTTTATTTATTATTACTTTTGTCAATTTCAGCTTATTTCAGTGATATGAAGTTGGTGTTCAGCAGAATTTTACTGCATCTGCACCCATCGTTGAATTAATTATTGAATCTGAATCCCTCCCAAGTCCTTCATCAGTTTGGTGCAGGTTACAGAAATATTTGATTACACACGATTCAATATAAGAATGTAAACATGAAGACTGATACTAAGAACCAAAATAACCTACTGGCAGATTAGATATAAACCACTTTGGGAAATTATCTCTAAAGCATCTTCTACGAGGTTCTTTCTTAATTTGGAAAAAAAGACTAGAACCTTGTAGAAGATTAGAACATTGTCTGAAACCCAAAGTCAAATACATGATCAAGCAGGCTATGTTTGACAGGTTGCTCCCACATTGGTGTGTTCTGCCCTGGAGTTCCCAGTCAGACGTCATGTTTCCAGAGACAGAGCTGTTGAGGCCTTTCAACAACCAAAGCGTGACGTCACGGCGGCTGCATCCATCTTCTAGTACAGTCTGTGCTTGACATCATCTGACGCCTTCAAACTTGGGATATTGTAGTCAGGGTATATGTGCAGCTTCAGTTTTAATGATTTTGTTTTAAATTTGTCGCTAGTGAGTATCATCGTTATTTTACCAAACAAACCAGATGAAAATTAAACCTCAATCTTGAAGGTTGATGCTTGCTGTAACCATCGGTACTGGTCTTTAGGAGAAGTCCCTCGAACAGAGTCTGAATAGAAACGAAAGGGGAAATCAATCCCTCCTTGTGTTTCCTAGTTGTTGCTGACTGAGCAATACCAACACAGAGAGAGGCAGTGCTAAAAAAAAAAACTTGAATACATCATCTTCACTCAATCTGTTTAACACAGACTGCTCAAGCCTCATATTTGCTTTAAGTAAAAGCACTGGACTGTTGTTCTGAGAAGGGTTGAAAAAAAAAACTGTTGACTTATTATTCAGTGTCAGCAATGTTTAGCTCCTTTTAACGCTATTTACTTTTAAATGACTTAAAGTGACAGAAGGTTTCAGAGGGAATGTTTTAATGGTAGATCATTTCCACATGACAATGACACAATTAAAAATGTTCTCATGTCAACCTTTTCCACAGTTTTCCCTTAAGGTAAGCTGGATTTAAACAGATTTTTTTTTCCCCGCACCCTCCTACCATTCATGTAACACTTTTCCATGTAAGAAAATACAGCATTTTAAAACATATTTGGCAATACAGAAGCAAACCCAGTAAGTTTTCCTCCACAAAGAAATTTAATAAACATTTTATGCTGACACATGGATTCCTAGCCCTCCAACCCTCGACTTTTTTTTTCTTTTTTTTTTTTACTAAAATAACCCAGAATGTTAACAGTCTATACAGCTAAGGGACATAATTAATGATGGAGAAGAAAAAAAAAAAGAACATTACAATCGTATCATTTGCACAGAGTGTAGCTAACGAACTAGACAAAATAAAGACGATGATTATAGTGGAGTTCAGGAAGGAAAAAAAAAGGAACGGCCATTGATTTGACAGGGCATTTTTATCTGGCAATTTCTGAATGGATTTTTGCACTGATACCGGACATCAAATCTTTGGGATTTACCAATTTATCAGGTTACATGTTAAGGAAGGCAAGCACAAGTGCCTGTTGCAGTTACCATTCTTCATTTTACAAGGCTATTACTGTTGCTCGTCTTTGGCTCAAGGCCTAGTGATCAAACAGAAGGCACTTTTGTTGGCATTGGTGATGCAACTAACATGGCAGTTATACCTCAGGGCCTAAATGAATATTTATGAGAATGTAGTATTGATCAGTTTCACCTTCTTCTTTTTTTTTTTTTTACATTAAGTCTTCACACAACATCCTCTTCTCAGGATTTCACAAACTTTTGACCTAACACCTAAATTCCTCGCCCATTTCTTTAAAGTAACTTCACACAACTAGTGTAATAGGCTTGCATATGACTGGAATCGTGAACATAACGATAGGCTACCTACTTGTCAGTTCTATGTCAGTACTCACAGGACTCATACTTGTTGCCAAAAAAAAATAGCAAGTTATGTCAGTTTGACTTCTCTAAAGAAAAAAAAATAAAATTTGACTTGTGCAAGTGAATCCATAGGAGACTTGTCTTATGTAAGAGTGCACAGGCTTTCCCAGAAACAGGACAAAGACAAAACAGTGTGTGGTTGTTAATCTCATTACGAGCTGAGATCAAAAAGAACCTGACGTAAGCCGGACGAGACAATACTGTGTGTAAGGGAGTCCTTACAGAAGACCTGCTGAGATGGGATGCAAACAGTTGAGTGGTTCTACTGAGGACCGCGGTTTGATAAACAAGTCCATCGGTTCTTGGATGTTTTTGACACTTTACTACCCAATCATGTTAACCGGCGACCATTTTCCAAAGCAAACCAGTGTTTAAATGCAACGGGCTTTTCCTGAATTGGAATTTAACCTGCACCATTATCAAAATAAGAACTTAGAATAAAAAAATATAAGAATAATTTAAATGTTGTAACATAGTTTTGGTAAGTGGAGTTTCATTTAGTCGAGCATAAGAGGCATATCTGTTTATCAAATTGTCATAAATAAGAAAAATGCATAGGTGCCTGTCTAGTAAGGTAACAAATACTCGTAGCCTTTGGTCAGTCTTATTTACTATCGTGTGTCGTCTCCCCACAAAGGCCCATTCTGAGCCTGGAGAAACCCTGGACAAGTTCTACTCCAGGCAGTGATCGGCTCCCGTTCTATAGTAAATGGCATGGAAGTCAAGTTTCAGAAACTTTACATGCGCTTAAAGGAGAACTCACAGATTACCATGACAAATGTAACACCCCCAAATCTGTGTCAGTCAAGCTGAGCTGCATTGTAGGAAATTAATTAATTGCATAAATACTAATGTTTTTTTTTTTGTTTTTGTTTTTATTCCCACAATCAGACCCAGTTTGTTCTGATGTATCAGTGGAGTGCTATGAAGTGATGCTACCCATCAGAGTGACGCTGAAGCCTATACTTAGCTCGCAGGCTGACATTATTTACTTAAAGATAAAGGACAAATATTGACATGGTAAACAGCATATTGGAGCTTTACTGTGAAGGATCCACCGATTATCACTGTTACACAACGTATGCTTTGGAAAATGGTCAACAGTGAACAGCCTGCACACCAATCAGCCACAGCATCAGAACCACTGACAGGGGAAATAAATAACATGGATCATCTTGTTCAAAACCTGGGATCCTGGCGTTCATGTGGATGTTATTTTGACAAATATCTCCAACCTAAACATTGCTGCAGACCACGTGGCAGCAGCACTGTCCCAGCAGAACACTGTGTCCTGCCACACCGTGGAAACTAAGTGCCCAGGACCAGCTCGAGGAGCATGACCAAGAGCTTAAAGTGTTGGCCTGGCCTTCAAACTCTCCAGAGCCCAGGTCAATAAGCATCCACAAGATGCGCCGAAACAAGCTTGATCCAGGGAGGCCCCGCCCTGCCACCCACAGCACCCAAAGGATCTGCTGCTAATATTCCAGTTCCAGGTAGCGCAGACGCTCTTCGAGGTCCATGACTCGGTGGCTCAGAGCTGTTTTGACAGCACGAGGAGACCTTCATGATAATAGGCAGGTGGCTGTGATGTTGTGGCTCATTGGTGTAAATTGATGACACATAGAAAATGGGTCACCACGGGCAAGACCAGAAATGATTTTACAAAACTGATGATTCCAGAATTTATGGTCAGAAGCACATGACTGAAATCACTTTGCTGACAGCGGCTAGCATCCACACTCGAAGACTCCCCATGAAACAGCTGTCCAGGAAAACCTGAATTCTACTAAAAGAAGATGGAGACTAGCAGTGATAGAAACTATTAACAAGCTGGTTTATCACCACAGATGAATCACTTCATTACAGTTAATACTGCGACAGATCTTTGACGGTAAGATTGTCCGATGGCCAACATGATGCTTAAAGCCAGGAGATAGTGTACCATGCACGTGACCAGTAGGACACTGGATGGAACAGAGACCACAGTCCTACTGCCACTTCTATACGGGTCCTTTTATCCAAACAGTGATGTATCTCGGCTCAAACCTCGTCATGTTAGATCAACCACTTAGTGTATTAGCAACCTGGATCGTTCCTGCTGGAGCAAAAGAACCCCCCCCCCCCGGACTCCACATATGGCTTAACACACCGTTTAGTTTCCTCACACCTTGTTCCGTTTCAGCTGTCAACACAGCGTTTACATTTCCCATGTTTTGTTCACGTCCTGCAAATGAACTGTAACTCAGCTTGGCAAGATCACCGTTACTGTTCAGTTGACATCAAACGTATACAGAAGCCAGATGAACATAAACCCAAACAGCGAGATAAGAGACGCTTCTGCCACCAGGCCGCTCTACCCTTGAGCAGACAATCACAGTGTAGCAGCCTTTTGCTACCTCATGAGACTATTAGGGAGGGAGAAACACTTCACTGGTATCTTAATTTACAAAATTATGATCATAAAAATAAAGCCTTGGACCTGTGACAATAAAACAATGAGGAAAAAAAAAAAAATGTGGTGTTAACATGACATTACCCGCCCACACCCAAAAGAAACAAAACAAAACAAAAAGGTAATTCACCTTAACACTCCTTTAGGCACATAAGTCTTTATGGATCCCACTTGTGTGGTGGTCAGGAATGCTCTTCACACAATAACAAAAATAAGAGTGAGGGTGCCTTTATGCGAACTTGGTGAAAAGAACCTGCAGTTCTCTTTGAAGGACTTGTGTCTGTGGCTTCGGATGAAACAACAACCACTTAGAACAAAGAAATCCACACACGTCTGAACTGCATGCCTGACCAGGATTACAGGACGGGAGGCGTCCCGAGCGCGTCCACCCACCTGTGACCTCCTCCATCACTTTTTTTTTTTTTTGTTCCAGATTTACTCCTGTTTTCTCGTTGGTTGTTTTTAAAATTTTTCCTTAAAGGTTGGTGTCAACACTAAAAAAATCACAATCTAGCCTGGAATATTGCTCAGCAGCTATTTACAGAATTGCAAAAACAAACAATCTGACTGATCTACACACAATATCTCACACTGTCCCGTCTGGATTTTTAGTGGTCCTCTTCAAAAAGAAACGTACTACAAAGTGTAAACATGGAAAACAAAAAAAAAAAACTATCCTGTAGAAATGTTAATAATTTCATCGCCCCCCTTCTCAGCCTTGTCCGCAAACTGTGAGATAACCTAATGAGTGTTGTTTTTTTTCTAATTTTGGGACCCTTTATTCGGCTCCGAGTTTTAGTGCAGATGCGCTGTGCAGTGATAGGAGCTCTCTAACCATTTCAACCTCTTCAAATGTCCCGTTTTTGTTTTTTTTCTTCCGTTCCACGATCCTTTTTGTTCGACTGAGAGCTGTCCTCCATCGCTGTGTATTGTGGCCTTCTGCCTCTGCTTGCTCGGGTTGTTGTGTTTCCCTCAAACACACACACAACCAGCTCCCTTCCTTAAGTGAGTACAATGTTAAACAAGGACAAAGAAATTCAAAGAAAAAAAAAAAAAATCACCTTTCACTTACAAATCCTTCCGTGTTTGCAATCAACATTGAGATGTCAGGCCCAACATTTAAGTTAAATTTCTTCATTTTTTTTGTTTTTTGAACACACAGCAGAATAAACATTGTTTGGAAGCAAGGTCTCCTGGTGGCAAGTCAAATGTTCAGAGGTCACATTTCTCTTTTTTTTGTTTGTTTGTTTGTCGTATTTTTCTTGCCGTTCTTCGGCAGCTTAGTCCTGCTTGGCCTGGAGCTGCTGCTTCCAGGCCTCGTTCAAGTAAACCAGTCGCTTGTAGTTGAGGATAAAGAGAATGAAGTTCAGCGCATATGTGGTGACGCAGATGATGCAGAAGTCCTTTAGGACAAAGTAGAGGATGTAGCCCAGGTAGAGCGAACCCACCACCGACAAGATGGATGTCGTCATGAGAATAAGGGCGGCCATTGCACTGACAGTCATTCCTACGGCAAGAAACACAAACTAAGGCTTAGGCAAGTAAAGTGAAAGAAAAAAGAAGAAGAAGACACAACTTTGCAACACACAGGCAACCTGATGAGTCTTCTGTTTTCACAGAGCGTTCAGCCTCTAAAAGGTCCTCTATTTTTATGATCGGCCTCCTCGTGATGACATTCAGCCTGAACGCTGAGCAGACTGCTCGTACTATTCCGCTGTCACATGAGGTTCAGTCATACTTCTGAGGCTAAGTCTCCTCACTGTTTGTGCTCGTTGTGCGTCGCCAGGCTGCAGCTAACGACTATTTTCACTGTCGATTATTTTCTCGATTTATCAATGAGTTGTTTGGTTCCCAAAGCCCAATATGGCGTCGTCTAATGTCTCTATTTATCCAGTTAACGGTCACAGAGGAGTAAAGAAACCAGTCAGTGTTCAAATTTAACAAGCTAGAGTTTTGTTTTTCACTAATAAACAAACTGATTAACTGATTGTCCAATTTTGTGGCGGTTAATCTAATATTTGGCAGATAACTGATGAACTGTTGTAGCTTTGGTTTGTAACAATCACACCCAGACAACAGACGAGGATTCTTGTTTGCTACCAAAATTATTCATTTACTGCCATTATTTAATCTTCCCTTTCCACCTGATATGTATTTAATTTATAAATCTAGGCTGTTTTATACATGATCTCTGACTAGCAACACACACAGCTACGTCTGCTAGAAGTGGACGGATTGTCGTTACACTTTTCTGATTAACTGCATTGTTTTTTTTGTTTGTTTTGGTTTTTTAATGCATTCAGAAATGCCCTACGTTGGCTCTGATGCAGCTGCTGGTCTCTGTCTGTAGTCACCACTGTGAAGTCTCGACTAGCATTTGGTCTGCAGCCCTATCAGAATGCTTATTACCGATCGACGTTGAAAGACGGATGTTGAAAACGCCTTTGAATTAAACGCATGGAAAACATGAAGGCGTTTTAAAAAGTTTGGTGTCGGAGTTTGTGATATTTTAAATTCCGAGATATTCATTTTTATTCCAAATGTATATAAATTCCAAATGCCGGCGATCAACATTGTTGTAAAGGCCCTGAATACAGCATATCGTCATGGACATGCTTGACTCACATGCAGAGGTGACTCTTAAGGCATGAACGAACCGTAAATCTGAAGGCTGTGACAGACCACAGGACCCACTGTGAGGCAGGCGGGTGTCAACGGATGTGCCTGATTTCATGTAACAGTGTTCAATCATGCGATAAGTAGATTTAATGGAAAGAAACTTGATCAGCGCCTGTTTTGATAGTTTTCTGGATGACCCAAAAACAATCAGTGTGTTTTATCATTTAACAGCTTCTCAAATAAACACGGTATCATGACATATACCTACATCACAGTGCATAATGATTCCCTTGATACTGCTTAATGAGAAAAACTCTAATAAAAGTGATTACAGACCCTGTGCATGAGCACCACAGAAAGCGGCCCAACTATAGCATTAATTTCATGTTTTGCAACAACAGTTCCAAGCTGTACACTGGCATTGATCACAGATTAAAGCCCTGCTTATGCAGATTTTGGAGTCATGCCTGCTGACAAATATTGGCCGCCACGAGGATAATCAAGGTTCTGAGACCAACTGGTCTCGTCTTTAATATGGAAATCTTGACCCGCTGTAGCAGTTTGGGTTGACTGGGATGCTATTGTGTTAGTCAAATGAGTGGTAACTGCTGCGGCTAAAAGGACCTCTTGTTCTGTGCCAGCGCCAGGTGGCCAAGCGGGCCTACAGACCACTCGGCAGGCAAACATGTCAAACCAGCATGACTGAGTCAGCAGCACCATCTACGTACTGAGGGGAGGAGAACGTTCATGTAACGGAGGCAGGAAAAAAAATCATTCAAGTTAAAACAAGTCGCACATGAGGAGAAATATCTACAGTCTAATAGTGACTGAAAAGTCCCCATGAGTGTGTGACAAACACAAAAGTATTACGAGATAACCCTAAAAGGACGACGCCACTATCTGGAGAAGCTTCTGTATTCTTATTACTTACTTATTATTATTATGTTCTTATTTTATCCCTGCAGTCTGCATTGAAATGCATTTATAAAAACATAACTTTTTCAGTTTAGTAGGATGAGCATCTGACAGTTATTTTGAGCGCATAACTGTATTTATACCTGCTCTCTTAATGCCAAAGTCATGTGAGTCAGTCAAATATAGCTGTGACACAAGAAGTCAAAGAGTTGAGTCAGCACTTGTTGCTCTTGCACAGGCCAGGGAAATGTGTCACCTACATTTGTAATGTTAACAGATGACCCTGAATAAAACGCCATCTTACCTAGTAGAAGCTGAAAGGCATAAAAGACGATCCCATAGACACTGTTGGGTTGGTTCAGTGCGCTGTCGTTTCCAAAGATTGAGCCCAAGAGTCCAAATCCTCGACCCCACCTAAAACCATAAAAACAGCATCAAAGACGACAGTTACAACTTTATTTAAAGATGAGTGATGTCGAAACTCCCTGAGTCACACTAATGAGTGCAGATAAGATTACAGACAGAATACAGCAATCAGACTCAAGTCATGTGATTGGTGGAATTATTTCCTGGTTTGTCTTCTAGCAAGTTGACTCACCAGCTGTGCGAGATTTTCTGTTTATCAAAACTGTGCATCAGCGTAACTCACACAACAGCAGCTTAGTGTACAGTGAACTAATGATTACAATTGAATAGATTTGACTTTATTGTTATTGTGCAAGTACACAGTCAATAAAATGCAGTTAGCGTCGAGTGCAAACGATTAAGTGCAGGTAAACATACTGCAGCATCAGGAATCCATGTGTTCAGTAAATACGGTGTTACTGACAGTAATAGTGACACTTAAATTGTAACTAACAATAAGTATAAGTTGTTACCTATTAAATTAATACCCATCAATTTTGATTTGCAATTACTTGGTTCCAGAAAATTTTCAATGACAAAAAAAAATGTTTGCAGCTTTTAAAATTGTAATATTTTCTCGTTTCATTTCTCCTCTATTACAATAATAAATTGAATATCTTTGGGTTGTGGAAAAAAAAAAAACAACATTAGAGGACGTCATCTCAGGCTTTAGGAAACACAGATAGATAGAAATGCTTCAACATTTTCTGACATTTTATTCAACGACCCTGATACCCGAGAAAACAATTAGTCGATTAATCAACACTGAAAATATTTCTCATGTGCAGCTCCCATTTTCATTATCAACTTAAGTCTAGGTTGTTTTCTTCGTAACTTTTTTTGTCCACAAAACGTCACAAACAAGTAAAAACTGTGCAGCAGGAAGTTTTCCAGACTTCAGCGTCGTCTTCGGACCAGAGTCTGACGAGGACACTGCAGTCAAAGCAAGTTTGGCAAACTGATTATAAAAAGAGTTTCCCTTTACCATCCTCAATCACTTGAGCACCACTGTCAGGGTTTGGGCTGAATTTAAGCGTCTGTGGCACAACCGTTAGTTCTGTCTCCACAGCTTAATACCATTCACCCCGTCCACCACCACCATCTCCAACCGAGGGAAAGAATTGTGTCTCATGCCTGCGTGCAGTCCAGGAAACAAGAAGTTTTAGCTCTGCTGTACAGCAATTTGTCTTCAAAGCCTGTTTCCATTAAAGGCAGATTTCAACACTTCTTTCCCACCAGCAAACTTAGGAGTTTCACTCATTGAGGAAAACAGCAAACATGTTCCAATGAATCAGGACAGTCTTCCTGTTATAAAACACTATAAACGTCTGCGTTACGTTTCTTGCACAACATGACAAGTCGTATGGGCAAAGTGGTGTTTGTGCATTTCTGTCAAATGACCTCAAAAACAGATTAATTAACAAGCTGCAGAGTTCAAGCCTCCAAGACCTGTAGACAAACCGAAAATCACAGTGATGGATTTGTATCATAGCTCATCTATTTCTATACGTACAGTGTATGGCTATTCATAATGCATTACTTCATCTCATCTGTACTAATGTGCAGTGAATGAAGGTCCTCATGTCCGTTTTAAAGCTCTACAGCAGCAGCAGCAGCAGCACAGAGATAAGAGGCTGGTTCAATAACTCAGACCTTTGTTTTATTTCCTACAGCAACATGGTTTACTGTACCTCACACTAACTATCCTGAGAATGCTGTTAAAGGAGCCGACAACACATGCACAATGTTTGAACAATCTCATTTCCTCCACTGGGATATTAAAACACTTGGCATGCTTTGACTATGGCGAGTACTAGTACTTCATCTTTAACTGTATTTGAAGAGGCATGAACAAAACAGGCAGATCAGCATCACATCGTATCACCAAATTTAGGGTATTCGCTTTATCTATATCCGCTGATAACAGACTAGAATGCAGGGAACCAAGTTTGTTTTAGATTAAGGTTGGCCACGCTGTGACAGCCTATTCTGTAAAACAAAAAGGCAAACTGCAATTACTTTTCATTCATCGGGTGAATATGTTAAAGAAACAATGCACTTGTAACCGATAGTTTCCTTCACATGAGAATGGCGAGACTGTCAGACAGAGAATTCACCCACTCATCAAACAAGTATGTCATATGTCAGGTTACATTCCAGTTATGATGCAAGTTTGTTCAACGCCTGTAAAGACTCATTGAGTCAGATTCACAAGGTGGGGTTAGCTCAGCTCATGAGGAGCTGCATGGCCACAGAGGAGCTGGTAGCTGCACTCAAAGTTCCTCCAGCAGGACCTGTGATCTTCAGAAAGCTGTTGGGTCTTGTTATGAATGACTATGTTTTCCTGCTATTTTCTTCATTAGAAATAAATCCAAGTATCAGTGCAGCAGCAGCTCTATCTGTAGCACTGGGGGCTACTTATCTACCCAGTAAGCATGTGTGATGGTGAGCAGGGACAGTGTCCAGTCCCCTCCTCTGACCTCTGAACAGCTCCGTGCACTGTCCCTTTAGGTAGCCACCGTTTAACCCCCTGGACTGACACACAGCCGGTGACATTAGCACCAAAGCTAATGACAGCTGCATGACAGCTAACGTGGAGGCTAGCCACTAGGTTACACAGTTCTCGTCACCCAAATTCACCAACACCGAACCAACTAACCACCAGAAACACTAGTTTAGTTTAGAGGGATGAATGGCTTCACACAGCATTCATACACTGACAACAATAAAGCACAAAGCTACCGTCAACTCCACAGCTAAAGTTGGTGTTACAGATGTGCTAGCCTCACAAACACACACAGAGCAGCCGGTGGAATCAGTTCACGTTAGCAACCGATAATTAAACAGTCCTCAAGAGTGTGTTGATGGCGAGCAGGCTAATAAGTTAGTTAGCTTTAGTGTTAACCAGAGGGGTGCGTTAGCTAACGGTTAGCAAAGTTAGCTTCGCCGAGCTAGATAGCTAATGATGTACTTGTTACATGTCAAGCTAACAGTTAAGTTGTTTCAGGCAGGTTGTTGAATAAACAAATATCTCGCAGGTTGCCAGCAGTACTTGTTTGCAGTTAGCTTTAGCGGGCAGGCGTTAGCGGGCTGGATTTGACAGTTTGGAGCGAGCAGCCCTTCCCAGACTGCCACAATAGCAGCAGCTTCATTGAGCGCCACTGTCGGCGCTCTTTGCTGAATTCAAATTACCTTGAGCTGAACACTTTTGAACAGCTGATGGAGCTGCTGACATCGCACATCGCCTTATAACTCGGATCCCGTGCCTTTTCCCTCTCGACGTGAAAAGCATATAGAGACAGCAGTATGCCCAGCAGGCAGACGAGGAGCCTCGCTATTCTCTCCCACCGAGGGGTGGACACTCTCAGGACGGGCGCCGCCATCACTCTCTGGCCTAGCTGGAGACACGCATACATACGCAGCCAGTTCGCCTGTGAGGCAGAGCTGCGACGTGGATAAGCGTCAGGACGTGCTCCACCGTGAGGGGCGGGCCGCCGAGCCCAGGAACAACAGTCCACAGCGAGCACGGCGCTCTCTGCGGAAACACCCAACGTGCTGGTAAACACAGGCGTGGATTTCAGGGGGGATGCAGGGAGACATCCCCTCCATCTGAGGAACATGGGTCATCCCGAACACAGATATGTGTGAATGTGTTTTGAGCAGAAATGTTGCTGAAGCGCATCTGAGCTGTTAAAGCTTTATAAATAAATTAAAATGTATTTAATTACCCCTGATGTGAACAGGTGCCACATGCACTATTAAAGAGATCACTGTCCCAAACAAAAGACACTGAACAGGACAGAGGAGTGAATCTGAGCTACATGTGAGCTGATCAGAGGTCAGATTAAATAAGAAAAACTGATCGATACTTGAAATCAACACATAATGATAACGAGAGCCTGACTGCGCTATTGTCTTGATTTGATTAGATTTTATTTTTATTTTATTTATCTATGTATTTATATTTCTTGAACACTTTAGGTATCTTATTTTATGTTATTTTTAGTTTTTTTTTAAAAAAATATTTTATTTATTTATTTATTTTTGTTGGACTGGATGCAGGCACTAAGCACATTTCACTACGCATTGTAGTGTGTATAATTGTGTATATGACAAATAAAGTTTATCTTGTCTGATCTTCCTTCATGTTTTGAGTTGTCACTGAATTTTCTGTTTTCTCTACCATAACTAAAGATGTTTCAGATGTAAATTGGGGGGAAATGAGGAAACTGGTACATAAAAACTTACCAAAATACAGAAAACAAAGGGTTTGATGCCCCCCAATAGTGAGTCCTGTTAGGAGGCTGTACTCTGGAGTTACATCCTATCAACTTTTTTGCCAAACTATTTCTCTACAGATGTTGTTCCTATTCATAATGCATTATAACAGCACAACATCTCCTCTTTCAGCCACTTACAGCCAAATACTTCAGCCAGAAAATGTTCAGACTCATTTTGTAGCATTTTTTTTCATGATATTTTAAAATGAATGGACAGTATAACATGCAGCTGTTCTGACATGTTTGCATTTGTTCATGTTTCTATTGGTTAGAGTGTGTGATGTAGGGTTAGCTGTGGATTCAGCTGAAGCTCTTTAACACTTTGGGGATTGAAACCTACTTTGAAGAGTTCTGCAAACTAACTGCTGAGGACTGAGCCAGAACCTGCAGCTATAAGAAAAGTGTGGATGTACACAGTGTGATGTCTCAACTCGGGGAGAAGAACAAGGGCCCTTTTGTAATGACAGTCCTGTGCGTGCTTATCTTATGCAATTTGAATTGTAATGATCTCATGAGCTCGAGCTCAGATTTACAAAGCATACCTTCATAAATCATCCCAGACTTTTTAATCAACGAAGGCCTACATAAACAGCTTATTACATTGTATATGAGTGCTCCTATGCTTCTATATGGCAGTGTTGCCTGCACAGGCAAACAATAAGAGTGAATGACCACAAAAATGAGTGTTTGGCCTCCAGCAACAAAGCAATGTGTCACCACAATGTAAATACTGGTCTCAGCCAGGATAGACGTATAACAGCTGTGTGGCTCCATCTCTGAATGCTGGGTGTTCACTGTGGTTTGTGCATTAATTTCTATAAACATATAGTGCCTAGAAGAGTTACTGTGTGCAATTTAAACAACCAACATCCACATTCCCTACAAAATAAAAGCCCCTGATGCCTACTTTACTTCCAAATAGTGGAAGAAGTGGGATAAAAAAAATAAAGAAAATTTAATGTTATCACGGATGTAGGAGCATACGAATGCATGCAAAGTGAAATCTCAAACAATGAGTAGGATTTGAGAATATCCCGTTTTAAAGCGAGCACTGTGTGTTTCCTCAGTCGGCTCTGGTCACGTGACTGCGTGTATATAAACACAGGGTGACATCATCTGTTTACTCCGCTGCTCCGTCTGCAAACAGTCAGCACCGTCTGCGTCCAAATGGCCACAGATATGGAAAGATTCGTCTCTTTCGAGGAGGCTTATTACGACCAGTACGATTATTACAACCTAATGGAGTACTCGTGCCACGCCGGAGGCAAAGGCAGGTCCAAGAGGGAGATCGAGCTGAACACGAACCGCCATTGCCCCGCAGGACACGAGAGGAAGATCGCAGAGAAATATCACAACAGCGAGATGAAGCGCAGGAGAACCAAGAGCTCGTCGTCTTGATGTCTATGCTCGATGTTTACAGGTGACTATGTAAGTCTGGGTTATATGTTTTTGGGATTTTAAAAGTCCTCCTGCTCGCACATTTCCACAGGGAACGAGATCCTGCAGACTCAGCAGGCAGCTCACACCCACGAATGTGAAGTGAACAACACCTGCTTTGTGGGTGCAGTCAGGACATTGTGATCTGAGCCTGTACATTCATGCTTTACCTCACCTGAAAGGTCACTGTGATGGGGAGAGACTTGTGGATCGTGTATTTCTCATCCACCACGGCTTTATTACACCTGATCTGTTTGTGTCACGCACAAAAACAAACCAGGCTCTAGTTTCTGCTCAGGTGGACTCACTGATGTGGTGTTTTGATTCCCTAAAATGTGATTTACAGAACATCAGTCAGGTTCCAGCTTCTAGGATTTCCTACTCGTGTTTTTTAGGTTGGATGTGTTTTGGAGCTGAAACTGTTTTTGACATTTTTTGACCAACTTATACGTTCATAAAACAACCTGCAGATGAAAAGATAAAATAAAAATCTCATCACGTATATTTATTGTGCTTCAGCTATATTTTCATTCCTGCCAAATAGAAAACATTTTATAAACATGTTTATCAGGTGGAACTTCTAATGAAAAGCCCGCTGAGGACAAGCTGTTCATGATCATTTCATTCTTATTTCCACACAGATTTGATACCCGGGTTGGATTTCCGATGTTGACCATGGCCAAGTATCTCTGCCTTTCCTGATCCAGCGAATGGAGCGCTGTGACACCGGGAACATGCCCAGCAGTCTGTCACGAGACAGCCCTCCATTCCAAACTCTACCCTGTAATCAGACCTGCTCCTCTCACGTTACAGCTGTGCAGGAATAGTTTGTGTTGAGCTATATAGGTCAGTAGTGTGTGCTTGATAAATATATATATATATATATAGAGGCATGTCTGTGGTCTGTGGGTGGAGAAGATATTTTATTGTATTTTAATTCAATAAAGTGGTGTTAATTAAACCGGCATGGGCTGTTTTATTACTAGTGCTTGTGACGGATGTGTTTTTATTGTTCCTATAAAAGAGGGATTTATCCCTAACAGGCTTTATAAAGTGTTCCTTCCTGTCTGTGTTTAGTGACTCTCTGGAGGAAGGAGGTTCTCTGTTTACTTTCTGTATCAAGGACAACTTGCAGGTCGTCTGAAAATGCTCAAAGACACGACCAAGGACCTATCAAGTTTTATTTTCTGCAGCTTTTTTTTTTTTTTAAAGTCCTAATATTATTTTTAGTGATTGAATTATACCACATTAACCTCTAGTCTTGGCCAACAGGGAAGTCAGTTAGAGGGTCACACAAGCACTCGTAGAACAGCAGTTACATGCAGTAACTATTATTTTTCTGGCAGAACATCTTAGCGGAACAATTTCTCGACTGGTACAGCTGCATTTTAACAACACAATCACGCCCCATCTAACCACATATAATTTAAGTCAAAGATACTGTGTTACTGTCATTGAAAAGTACACACAGCATACAAATGGATCCGCTTTTATGTGTAAATAAAGAATGTGATTGTATAAGGTTTTTTTTTAATCAGAAAAAGTGTGTATAATTTAGGTTTAACTGTGGATTTAGCTGAAGTTCTTGTACAGACTCCTAAAGTTGTAGAAACAAACTGCTGAACACTGTGACGCTGACCCAGAATCTACAGACAACAGACTAAAGGCAGTGTGAAGCCTAAACTAGTTGGGTGTCCTGTGCAAAACAACAAGCGTCTTACATACTTGTAATCATGTTATAAGCTTTCTCTAAAGTTGAAAAGCAAAACTTCAGAGACAGTTGCAGATTTTAATCATTTGAATGTTACATAGAAAAGCTTATTATACTGTATATGAGCCCTCGTGTATTTACACATAGCAGTCTTGCCTGTATAAGCAAATGATAAAAGTGACTAAAACAGGACTATATGACCTACAGATGTGATGCTGTCACTGCAAGAGGCTCGTCACTGTTTTGGTTTTAGTTGCAGTTGTACCTGAACCTTGGTTAACTTGCGTGCTTTTATTTTGAAATGAGACTTGGTCAACAGGAATTACTTCATTCTTGATCCTCACACATGTAGCGACCGTCAGGGAGCAAATCAACCCGATTATTTCCTCTGTATTGTCTTCTACCTGCCGGGATCATGCAGGTTTGCAGCGTGTGCAGCGAGCAGACACCAAAGTACAGATGTCCAGCCTGCAAAATACGATAGTAAGTCAACCATAGCTCACTGTTAGCAAGCTAGCCGCCGTTAGCATCCAGCAGTGTGTTTAGCTACGACGTTAGCTCAGCTAGGAGAGTTATTGGAGAGTACAGTTTTCAACATCTTGAAAAGGGATATTTTTGTTTTTGCTGTTCTTGTAAATCAGTTTAAAGAACAGCAAATAGAGCAGTTTTATCGCCATGAGGCTGAAAACTCAGTTACGTTTTATAGCGTTGGTGTGTTTAAATACAGATTCACAGAATTTAAAAACATTACAAAGTGTTAAAATAAAAATAAATAAATAAATTACCGAGTATCCACTGATTATGTCAACGTCTTAAAGCAATGTTGTTAAAAGTAAACTGAGAAAACACCGGTGAGCACGACGACCACATGGGACGGCAGCCCGCGTAGGCCAAAAGGATTCGCGATTTTATTTTTATCGTGTTGACATTGCTAAACAAACCAGATGCCATTGATTTTGAACATGCTATTGAAGTTTGTCAAGTTAAACCAGAATTTTTAGGTGTAACCTATTAAATAATGAACCCCCAAGTTATTAATAATCATATTGAACATTTAAATATCACCTTGTTAACTTAAGTCTGCACTAAATCGGTTGTTTTTATGATCTGCAGCATACAAACTGTCTGTAATTATTGTTTTTCACTTCTACAGTTGTTCACTTGGCTGCTACAAGAAGCATAAAGGTAACTGATCTCACTATTTCTCACTAGTTTTTCATGGTGATAAGCTGTGACTGTACCCCCAGAAATGTTCCACATCTCATCATCCAGTGATCAGTTTGTGTCTCTCTGTCCACAGACACTTGTGTTCCTGTTGAGAAGCCTCCGTCTCCTAAAACTGAAGCTGAGGGTGTTGTGAGCTCTGGTACGGTGGTGTTTCTCTAATAATTCCTGTCATTATATTTTTAGTGTGTCAAAATCAAGCAGCAAGAGCACAGCTTTGCATATAAATGACAAGTGTGCAACATGGATCAGGTTACAAGCACAATAGAACATGTTAAAGGATACCATAGTTGTGCTGGGAAAGAAAATCTACAGCTTAAATGATAATTGTGCACTTAAATGCATTTTTGTGAGATCTTATCAATTTATCTATTATCTATTTATTGCCGTTTTAGATTCCAGGGCTTATCCATTTAATCATGAGACTAATAAACAAGTGCTGTATATAAAAGATGATAATCTAAAATACTTCTTATCCAATGGCTGTGCATTTCATTGAACCCATAACGCTGAGCTTTTACTACATGACTTTATGAACTGGTGGGAAATACTTGTCTCAAAGTTGCCAGAATTCTGTTTGTTTAATGTAACTTCAGTAGATTCAGTTGTAGCAATAACTAGTAAGAAAACTGCTCTGAGGCACAAGAAGTAAAATACAAGTTTAACCTTCAGCATGTTCTGCTGATTTGTGTGAAAAGCTCTTCTTTTCTTTTCTTTGCTCTTTGCAGAGTCGTGGACGGTTGATGATCTTCTGCATGAAGATGACATCATTGACAAAGTGTCTCTGCAGAGACTCCAGTTGTTAGGTATTATTCAAACATCACTTTTTTTTTTTTTTTTTAACTCCTGAACTATAATGCCTTTTATAACACTAATCGCAGCAGCAGCAGCAGCAAGTTTTAAACAAAAAGGAAAAAGTCAGGAGCGGGCAGTTGAACTTGTTTTTTTCCCCCCCACAGGTCAGTCAAAAGGGCTCAGAGATCTGCTTTGCAACCCTCATCTGAGACAGTTGTTGCGCTCCATCGACAGCGCAGACAGCAAAGAGGACGCGATGAAGGCCGCCATGCAGGAGCCTCTGTTTGTTGAATTTTCAGATCAGTGTTTGAAAATTGTAGAAGATAAGAAAAAATCATTAACATCCAGTGAGGATGGTTATTTGTAAAATTGTGCTTAGATCAGTTTTTGATATTTTTGTAGTGGGTTGACCTACCTTTTTGTATTTCTGTAAAAATATCCAGGGTTAGGCCGCACATGCCATGAATGTTGTATAGTTGCTGCTATTATTCTCGTGCCTTCTTAATGCTACAGATTGTATATAATGTTCAAATAAATGCTAAAACTTCCTCAAACTGCATCAGTTCCTGAGTTAATACTGAAGACTTTACAGTGTAATTAACCAAACCATTGCTGAAGCAGTAAGTCAGATACAAGTCGCAAGGAAAAGCTGTAATTATTTTTAAAGACATTTATTTAAACAAAACAGTCATTTAAACAGTAATATCAAGTTTGTACAAACAAAACTCTACCAAGGAGGTAGAAGAAACAAAACATGTGTGTAAAGTGTACAGAAGTGTGACTGTCCTAATGCCCTGACACATGAACATGAATCCACGGCTGGATGTAACACCAAAGAAATGACAACGCTGTTCCTGAAGGGAACATGTACGATTAAAGCTCGGAGAATAAATATGAGTGTTAAGTTACATGCACTGTTTCTGTTAACATTGTGAATATCATAAAACTTGACAGCTAAAAAAAAAACAAGTTCAGTTAAAAGACAATCAAGTCCGTTCTCCCACACAAACACTGTAGCGTAAAAAGACTTTGGTATGTCGTACAGTACTGGCATTGCTTTGGATAAAAATCCACACAAAGCGCTTTAGTCAGATAACTTGCTGATGTGCGTATTACAAAAGACCCTTTTTCAAACAAAGAGCAGCATTTTGAAAAACCACGGCTTCGTCCTTTCCCTGTTCACACCGGCGAAGTGTCTGCTTGTTACATCTGTTTGTCTGCCTCTTGCTCTGTGAGCAGGTGTGTGCTTTCAATGTGCAATTCGTGCTTACATGTGCAATACTTGCTTAATTTTCTCGAGCATAAAAACCACACTAGCAAATGCTGAATGTTAAAATCTAAATCATATGTGCAGCTGAATCATATATTTTTCACACCCAAAATTAGCCTATGAAGTCAGATACAATCACCGAGATAAATACATGTACAACTAACAGCTCATTTGTGATCTGAGTGTAGATTTTCTAGAAAGGCACTTGCCACAAGGCCTAATACTTGGATAACTATGAGATGTTCCAAAGAGACAGGAATGAGATAAAAACCTGCTGTCCTCTAGTTATAAGGTGCTAAGATTGTGCCACATATTTTCAGTTCAAAAGAAAAACAAATAATGATTTTAAAATGAGTGATGATAATGTTTGTCTGTCCTGCACTTACATCATTATAACTGCAACTATATGTGCGACAAATGGCACATATTCCAGAAATGGCAGAGAACATCTCTCCTACCCTGACTGAAGTGTAGCAGAGGACAGTGCATCTACTGACTGCGATGATTTTTGAGTCTCTGGAACCTAAAGGCCACTACAGAGGATTTATGAGAAGTTAACACTGCATCATCTTACATGACCCCCTGTTAAAATATTACTACACAAGAGTGCAGGCTTTTGCAAATCCCTGCACGCACAAAGGGGACAAAATAAAACTTGGACATTCTTAAAAACAAAACCATTAGTGTTATAAATTAGTTGCAAAAACATGTTTAGTGGCAGCATAAAATACCTGATCTGGTCCCTCTGTGTCGGATTAGAGATAAAACAGCTGCTCAAATGCAAAAGTACCTCTGTGCCTGATTATCTTTTAGTGGAATTAGTGTTTTGCAAAGAGGGAACTCTTACAAAGTTTTCTCTAGCAGGATCTCATTGAACCCTGTCACGTCCTTCTTCAGGTCTGGGAGTCTGTCAGCATAGAGAAGTGGAGATCGCTGACAGTGCAGCTTTATAGATCCCTGTGTGGAAAGCATACGAACACTCATAAAGACAAATCCCCCAGCTGACAAAAACATTATGGGAGATTTAATAACATGTGGATGTGTCCTTACCTTGGGTTGGGCTCGTATGGAGGCAAGCTCCTCTGTGCACTGGTTGGTCTTCACCTTGTACTGCCCTCTCCTGGATGGCAGGTTGAGGGAAGCCACGGCGGACATCATCTTCTGAAAGCCTGTGGCTGTCAAAGAGACGGTGATGGACGGGGCCGAGGCCAGAGCCAGGCCCATGGGCCACCCTCTCACTGGGACAGGCTCTGGGATGGTGGAGAGCTGCACCGAGCCCCGTTCCCTGACCACAGGGTTCAATACTGGCGCCTCCTCTTCCACAACATCCTTTGCATCATCAAGTTCTGCTTCAGCCAAGGATTTCAGCAGTGTCTGCCACAAGAACAAAACAGTTCTTTCATATATATAATTCCTAGTCCACATTAAGAATGAGCAAGAAACACTGTGAAAAGCTTACCCTCCACTTCTTCCAGGTGTTTTGGATGACTCCAGCTGCTCTGTTCCATCTCTTCACCTTTTTCCTGACCAGCCAGGACCGCACCGCTGCAAGGAGGTTAAAACAGTTTTACAGGTTAAATCACTGCACAGCTTGTCCTGTACAAAGACATGTTGATGCAATCCCATTCAAAAGTAGCATCAAACAGCATCTGCCATCAACAGTCAATCAACTGAGCTGCATATGTGACAGGTTCTGTTTCTGCAGGGATCAACAGCCTTCAGTACAAACAGTTTTCAGACTCCACCAGCTGGTTCCTGTCGGCCAGACAATCAGGTCAAAATCGACAGACTGACACAGTGGGAGCCAGGCCACAGGGCTCTGCTGATTCCAATCAGCAGTACCCGGCCAGGTCATTAAGAGTTTACCTGCTTGGATCAGAGTAGCGGACTGCCGGCGGGTGTGGCGTCTGCGACGTTGGTACCGCAGCCAGCAGCACTGAATGGAGAAGGCGCACTGAGACAGGATCTTCTTCCTCTGATCCTCCAGCAAATCAAGCTGTAAGACAAGTCAACAACATCAATCAAGGATTATATGACCAACCAGAAAAAAGGGGTTCTCGTCATAAGGTGATAAAGCTGCAAACCATTACACTGGCATGTTAGTACTAAGTTTATATTTGAAATGAAGTGTGAGAATGCTTTTACACTGACTAACCATTGCTTGGGTGAGAAAAACTTTAGTCCTCCCGCAGTGCACCAATGAACTGTGTTTGTCACTGGAAAGACGGTGTAACGCCACAGCGAGAAGCTTCTTCACCTCTAGCTGAAGAGCGTCACTGCTGTCAGCCTCCAAATCTAAGAGAGAAGCAACCAGGAATTAGACGAAGAGAAGCACTGGAGACATAATTCACGTAACAGCTGAGCAACACTCAAACCATCTCAAGATTCAGGTTTACCACATAGCAGTTGTTTGACATGTAGTCAGTGAGGTTAGACGTGCATAAATCAAGTGATGACAGCACGGAGAGGTTCATCAGAATCAACAGTGCAGCTTACACAATCACTGACATCATTACTGTGAATTCATACTCAGACTTGATAACATGCACGTGCATGAAGACAGAGGAAATGTGAAGAGTGTGATGTGGCAGCATTCAGTGTTAGTGAGCAGGTGTTGTGAACATGAACACATCAAGACTGAGAGTCTACAGATGTGATAGCAGCGCTGTGAGGCTCCACTGAGCTGAATGCCGTCATCAGAATCGACCATGTTAACATGCTGATGTCAGGCCGGTATAATGTTTAGCGTGTTTACCATCTTTGTTCTGCATGTTATCAAGCTGGCATTTGCTAGTTGGTAAAGTCCACCGAATAAATCAGCCAGGTCGATATATTTCAGTCTGATATCACGTTGCTAGTAAATGGCAAGAAACTGAAGGACGAATAGATGTTTGGAGACAATGTCACCGTTCTACCCTTGGAAAGTTAATGTTTACACTGAACAGACCTCATTCCCCAAAGACCATCAAGTTGTACTAGTCCTCTCTCTCTGTGGATGTTTTTTGTTTGTTGTATTGTTCTGTATTGTTCCTTTCTGAATGTTTTGTGCATTTATCATCACCTCTATCATAACACCACATGTTTGTGCTGTCTGCACCCTTGTATTCACTTTATTGCTCTGATGTAAAGGGAGGAAAAGTCCTGCACATATCATGGCTGCACTTGTTAAGTTAAGATGATAATAGGAACATTATCAAAAATATTTATTCATATTATATACCATCTAACAACAAATAACAGCCAATAAATATATAATAATTGGGTTTTATTAAAGTCCTTAAATATTGATATTGGTCTAAGTCAGACTACATTAACTGGCACTAAACACGCATTAAAGCTGCTGGGGCTAGTGTCATTAGTTTTGTATGTATTTGGTAATAAAACTAAAAATTGGAGAAATTACAATGTTGACCTCATGGTGATGCTACTGGACAAGTCTCATCACAGTTCATCCAGATGGGAATATGAATGTCTGCACCAGATTTGGTGATCCTTAAATAGTGTCTGAAACATTTCACTACAACCCCAAAATGTCAACCTTGTGGTGGCTCTAGAGGAAAAGTCAGATCACTAAAGGCAGCAAGATTCATGCCCGGTAGACCGCACATGTCTGTACAAAGTTTTAGAGTAATCAATCCCATTCTTGTTTGTGTATTCCAGTTTAAACACAAGAGGTGGACTGATGGACAGACAGCCCAACCCTGCCATCCATGGAGCTGTGCCCAAAGCATGACTACACAACAGCTGAACAGTGGGGTTAAGGTGAATATATTGTAAGTATGCAATAATCAAGAATGAGTACGGAAACATGCAAAGCAAGCTCTGATAGTCAGACATGCATGCATTTACCTGGAAAGTTCATAAGAAGTTGCAAATTTTGTTAGAAAGTCCCGTTTTTATACACCAGATTGAAAAGTCCCAGTGAGAGCAGAGAACTGAGGATCACATTTACTAAGAGGACTAACGAAGGAAAAGAGGAATAAACCAGCAGACCTAAAGAGAGGAAATAAAATCACTCTTTGTCCAGAGCAAACATGCCAAAATTCACTGTGAATGAACTCAGCAACAAGCCGTACTTACCAACACTGTGACTCCCTGCTTTTGAATATTTTACAATCAGTCCGTAACGCTGCATGAAGCTTTCAAAAGGAATTCTGTGCGACAAAGATAATAAGTCAACGGAGACCCAAGAAAAATGAAACAGTAAATTAAGATTAAACCTTGATAAACAACAGATGTTTTACCTTATTGGAAAGCCAGCAGCACTGATATGAATCGTCTCAACGATCCCACAGGCCTCCAGCTGCATGATAACCTGACAGCACACATGAGGCGACCATTAAAACCTTTTTCTTTTGTTTTCACTGTCGAAAAACAGCCAGTAAGAAATGTGTGAGCGGGACATCTACCTCCTCCTTCTTGAAGGTCAGCGGTTTGCAGTCGGGGTTGGGTTTGATGCAGCGAGTGTAGTGAGGAGTTGTGGTGTGAAGGATTTTCATCAGGCTCTCCAGCGAGTTCTACAATCACATGTTAACATCATCAGCATCGTGACTGAACCCAGCCAGGACACAAGCTAACATGAAATAATCAGCTGGCTCCTACCTTGAACTTGGAGACCACAGTGACCTTACTGAGACCTCTGTTCGTCGGATTCTCAGTTGTCTTGTCAGTGAAGATCTCGCGAAGCAGGGGGTTGTCAGACTTCTCGAGCAGGTTGATGAGCTCCGCTGGCACTGGGTCCTGAAACATAAAATCCACTGGATGATGAGTGGACGGATCAGTGTGTGTGAGAACTTACCCAGACACAGTTTGGAAGTTTTTCTTACCTTATTTTTCTCCACCATGCCCTCTATCTGGTAGTTTACTTTGCCAGCATAATGCGCCACAGTGAAGTGTGGCACCTTGCTGAATTTATCCCAGCTGATGTTGGCATTATCACAGAGCTCCTTCTCCAAACGAACCCTGAACATTTTTGCGTCTGAGACTCTATTGAGGCGACTCTCCTGTAAACACACATGGAGAAGGTACTGTTACATCCAATTAGTAGAAATACATATCGCATGTCATTTTAAATCCAAGTAAATATTAATCAAGAAAATCACTGCAGTTCCTTCTACATGAACAAAGGGTTAAGAGAGATGAAGGAAACTTGCTCTTACACTATCAGTCTATTAAAAAAGGCTTCAGCGGCAGGACATGTTAGAATACCACATCCTCAATGCATCTTTGCACAAAACTTGCTACTGCAAATCCTGCTGTTCTGTTAGTTTAAAAAAATAATGTTAGATGTGACAAATAACCACCGTACCTCATTCAGAAGAGAGAACACACTGACAGGGCTTCCTTCTATAAGATCCAAACAACTCTGGTTGTCTTGATATTTGATAAAAGACCACTGCAACCCCTCCGACACATATTCCTCCTGGGAGAAGCAGAGATAAACACGAATATTTAAATACACAGTTGTTGTGTTTTTAATCAACATCGATTTTTGTGAAAACTGAGGAAGCCTCCTGAAGGTTTGAGGTCTGGACGTTGATATAACAAGCAGATTAACATCAGAGAAGTTGGAGCTCTGCTGAGATCTCTGCATGGAAATTGAAAGCTGACGGACGCTACCTGCTGAGCTCTGAGATAATGGGCCACAAAGTGCTGCTGCAGTTTCTCGTTGGCGTAGTTGATGCACAGCTGCTCCAGGTTATTGATCTGGAAACACTCGAAGCCGTACACATCCAGGACTCCTGCAGGTTACATAGGAGAGGACAGTGTGAGCTTGTGGAAAGAAGGCCAAAGTTTGTAAGTGCTGTCAAGAAAATACTACTTTTACCTATGAAGTTGCACCACATGGATTTGTCTGCACATATGCTGTTGTTGATGAACGTAACCAGCCATTCAAATAACCTGGTGGAAAAACACAGAGAGCCTTTAATGAAGATGAACAGACATATCCTTCTGACTGTTTACTATAAACAAAAAGGCATGATGGTTTCACATTTAAAAGTCTGGTGGAAAGGAATGTTTGACTGGACAAAAACAAGCTTGAGCATCAGCAGCCACTACAATACACTGTTATCACAGTCTGACAAACTGTCGTGTTATTTGAATATCAAATCATCACTCATACTGTGCGTAGATGAGCTTGGCCAGGCAGTCTCTCCTCACGCTGCACTCTGCCTGGGAGCAGGGCTTCAGCACACTTTGCTTCCCCGCCTTCAGAGTCCTCACTCTTAAACACGTCTGAAGCTCCTCAGCAGGGACACACAGCAGCTCAGCAGCCCTCTGCAAGAAGTCTACAAGACAGGCAGGAGACGTGTTTCATGTCTGTTGATTGGTGTTGTCAAAGAGCAGAGTGACGTCATGGAATTTACTGTTCAACGCAGCATGAAACATGGAAAGACAACCAGCGGAAAAGACCTTTAAAATGTTTATGTTTCAATGTTAGCCTTAGTATTCTAAATGTAAGGCTTTGTTATATTTCTATTGACTGGAAGTCACTGGTACAATACCTTTGGACTGTCCACCGAGGTTACAAGGATGTGATTCATCTGTTGTAGAGGAGAAACTCACATTCCCCAACTGCAGAATCCCTGCTAATATCTGTAACACATTACAACAAATGGAAAATTTATAATATGTGTTTACAGAGAAAAAAATAATGCACACAAATATTTGACATTTGGTGAGTCGAGGTAACGTGTTACTTTACCTTTAACCATAGTAAGGAGCTTATGACACACTATAATCTAGTTGTAAGCAGTTCTAAGCAATGTTTTTGTGTGGAAATGTTTTGAAGGTATAGCATGTTAATTATGTTTAATAAGAGGCAACCCTTACCCTAAATATTTGTTGTTGTCTCTCTGCATGGATGCCCAGATGAACCATTGCTTCCACAGTCTCATCAAAACAGTCCTCTATAAAACATTTAATGAGATGTTATTCATAAAAATCTGAGTCACAAAATGAATGCAAATTATACAAATAAATACAAAATAGGACCGTAACCCATGAAAATGCTGAATACCAACCTTCAATTGTTTTTTCTGAATTTGGCAGCCAAGCAAAACGCTGGTCATGTGGCATCTTCCACTCCTTCCTCTGCTCATCTGTGGCACCTTTCATCATCTGAAAAACAATCTCTCACCAGTTAGCTCTGCGTGTAAATGAATAACAAAAGAAAGTGACATGTGAGCTTTAGTGCAGGTCTGTTGACTCACTTGGTAAAAGACATGGAAGTTCCTTTCGCTGGCAGGCTGGCAGGTCACTCTGGTCTTCTCCAGCAAATATGTTTGCACTGACGCACCGACTAACAACTGACACCTTGGTGCAAAAACGACATGTTGAACCAACAGCGAAGGACAGTGATTGGACGGTCTGTGACTGATTCTATTACATCTGATAAGTAAAATGTTGCAAGTACCTGTCCAGCTGCAGCTGGATGTACTTTCCAAAGCGGCTGCTGTTGTTGTTCCTCAGTGTGCATGCGTTGCCTAAACAGAGAGTAAACTGCTGTTCAGTGATTGTTTAGCAGTCAAGTTCATTTACAAAACACCAGTGATTGGATGTCTTACCGAAAGCTTCCATTATGGGGTTGGAGTCCAGCACTCTCTTCTCTATCCTCTCTACTGTGTCCTGACTCTTCATCACTGAGGAGGAAGCCGCCACAGTGGCGTAGTACTTCATCAGGCAACGAGACGTCCATGTCTGCAAAGAAACAAATCATTGAGAGACCATCTGTATTTAGAAAAGAATTTTTTTAAAATCATTAGCCACTTAAAAACTTGTTTTACTTATCATGTGACCAAATTTACACAGTGTTTTTTCTTTTTTATTATTTCATATTTATTTATGAATTATTATTATTATTATTATTATTATCAACAACTGTCAGTCAGTATGAAAATATTCTCAATATACACTCAATTATTAGAATTCTTATTTTGCCTTTAAATTATCAGAAAAATGTGACTCATGTCCATTCCTTGCTTGGTTTTTACCAATTTAGTTTAGTTAATTTATATTTATCTAGCAGCAATTATTAATAGTTTTCAGGTCATTACTCACACATACTTAAAGTTCTTGAAACAAGCCAGCTTACTAAATGTCTAATCAGCTTAGTTCATATACTGCGAACTGCCCAGTGTCACCGCTTGAACAAACAAACATCTAAAGTGACTGTGAAGCCGTGTTTGATGCAGGAGGTTTTGTATTCTTCCAGCATAGCGTTCTGTGCTTGTTTACCTTTCCTGCACCACTCTCTCCGCTGACCACCAAGGACTGGTTCACGGGCTCCAGCTGACCCTGAATGTTCCTGTAGGCTTCTTCTGCCACAATAAAGATGTGTGGTTTGAATTCCTGTTGACAAAAATATCCAAACTCATTAAGTGAAGCCAATAAAATGAAATGTATGCATCAGCCTGAAATGAACAATGACTGCCGATAACACATGTAAAGCTAGAAGTTCACATTTCTGGTTTAAAATGACACAGAAAAATAAATACGATATGTTTTACATGTAAGTTCAAGAATTTTTTTTTTATTCTGCCCAGTGACTGTATACATTTGAAAAGCATTATATTTTATGCCTGCATCTGTCAGTGGGCCATCACAATAAGAGGAGGCATAATAATGTGTTAATTCCACTTTCAGAGACACCTGATGCTCTCTGCTATTACATAAACAAAATATGTGCGTGTATCTGTAACAGCAATCAGCCGAAATGAGATGGAAAATACTATCGGATATCAGCAACAAAAATCCAATATTGTGCATCTTAACCCACCACTGTCCATCACAGAGAAGTGTACATAGGCAATCTGAATAACTGAGAGACTGCTGTGATGTTGTAAATACCTGCGGCTGGGAAGCGTAGTGATACTCCTTCATCACATCCAGAGAGTAGAGATCTGGAACGGGCTGGAAGGGGTTCAGAGCTATCAAGGTGCAGCCAGCATGGGTGTAAAACACCTTCACACTGTACCTGGCCTGCAGGCATTTCAGCACTGCCAGGAAAAAAAACATTACATATCATTAGGTATTAACGGGGCAGGCCACATTTTTACAGACAGTAACCACCAGAACAAAGAACAAGAGAATACCACAGAATGAGATTCAGCTGATACAAAAGGGTTCTGTCAGTCGTGTCATCTTGGTGCTGGTAAAAACCTACAAATTTCACATATCTCACATCAGTAAAACTAGAGATGCAGATAACTTTAAAAAGAACAAGAACACATGTACAAAATCACTTAAGCTAAAACAACTAAAACACAGGTCTGACTCAACATATTTACTCCCTTTTGGATAAAACAGAAACAAAGCTCTGAACAATTAAAATGGCAAAAAAAATAGCTATAGCATATTTATTTTGTGATGACCCCTGAGGTCATCTTGTGGGTGGTTCTAGTTCGTCTATTGGTTCTGTGAGTGGCTGTTTGAGCTAATCAGGAGCACCTGTGACACCCAGTGTCCTCCTGGGTCACTTAAGGGCTCACTGCAGTCTAATCTCTCTCTAGTCTGCTTCCCTCCGCAGGCAACACACCGGTCTGGTTATGGGTTAGTTTTTTTTGTTTAAGACGTTTAGATTTACAACACTTGCACAGACATAATTCATGCATACATCACATACACATCACTGACTCTATGTACTCTCACAACCCCATACTGGTTTGGTTTTTAATTTGGTGTAATTTAAGTGAATAAAGACAAGCTTTAATTATTCAAACTTGGTGTGTCTTTCCTTTTGTTGCAGCCGTCTTGAGCCGGGTCGTAATAATTTATATAACATCCCTTTTAATACACAGTAACATAATCTATAAAACCTACAAAATCAATACTTTAGAACAGATCCTGCAGCATTTCTGACCTCTGCTGTTAGTGAACTGTATTGTTATATTCTCTCCCTTTAGAATGAAACATGATTTACGAACAAACACCAATCTATACAGCACCAGTATACCTATTCTATTATGTCAACATGTTTTCAAACAATGGAGGATGAATATGTATGTATGATGTCTAATGAACACAAGAAACTAAGTGTGAATGTTGTCGGCTCTCAGAGAGGCATGTAGAGTGACTCATGTCCTTGGTTCTGTCCCTTTAGTGAATCTTGCTCCCTATCCTTGTGCCCACTGCAGCACTTTAATAGCACAGCAACCATTCATGCATTATTATATTTTATCATTCCCTGCAGATTTTATCTTGATGCAGGCAAATACTGCACAGCAAGCGCTGCAGTCCAAGGTGACACAAGTAGGAAAACACAGCGTACTGACCCAAAACTACTCTAAATAACTGAAGTATTTTAAATTCCATTAGGTGACACAGCAGGCACAGCCGAGCCCCGGGACACATCGTGTTAACATCATCAAGTGATTCTCAAGTGTACGAGCTGCAGGGACATTACTATTTGGTACCTGTTGTTGGGGTCACCGGGTTGACTTTGGTGAGGTCATCATAAGTGTGGAGTTGGTCTTCATCAGTGAGGAAGGCCTGAATTTCTTCGTCCAGTGAATCATTCAGAGACGGGTGAGAGGAATGGACGTTCTGGACGCATCCCTGCACCTGAGGTGGCAAAATGTGAGATTTAAGAAGAAAAAGATGATCACTTGGAGCAAAAACCAAACAAGATGTTTCAACAAAAGCCAGTGAGATGAGGGCAATGTCTTTATGAATGCTGCAATTGTTATTCCCATGGCAAACATTCAAAACACAAACACTTCTCTGCAGAAATCAAAACTCAGACAGCTGTCTCCAAACCACTGACGTCACCATGACATCAAGTCCAATTGCTAAAAATCTCAGCAGGTTCATTTACAACATTTAGCAGCTCCACAAAATCGGTCAAACTTCCCTGAACCACGAAGCACCTCTCTACATGTTTTAATGGTACAACATAATGCATGGATGGACATGGATAGAATTTATAGACCTAAAAAGACCATACATTCATACATGGGTAACAGGTACGTATGTATTTTTGCTTAAACACTTGCGCTAAGCGTTTAGTGTAATGCATGCATTCATTCATTCACTGAGTCAGAATCACTCCGGCTTTATAAACGGAAGTCCTCTTTATCCTGTCTGGATCACATGGCCTCGACCTGCAGCCCGCCTGAGGATCGTCAGCAGTCTGAGGTACAAGCAGATTTAATCCTGCAGCTGCTAACCTATATCCCATCATTCTGTACGGCCGCTCTAACACCATGTAAACAATCTTAATGACATTAATTTAATACCTGCGGGACTAATACTCCGAGTACACACATTGTGACGTATAGTTAGTACATGAAGTCCCTGTTAAAGTGGAGTATTCCGACTTTAGAGAGGAGTAAGTAGCTTAAGTATGAACAATGCAAGTACAAATATTAAACATAGGTAGAACATGAAGTGCACATTAGTGAAGGGACTTTACATGTTGTTCTCATACCACACTCCATTCAGAAATTTGGCAATTCAGCCGATGTTGATTTATATAGAGTCGTCCTCAAATGTATTCATCCCCTTCCATTAAAGAAAAGGCAAAATTCACAATAGTCACTCAAATAAGTAGAAACTGAAAAAAGTAATAATAAATAAAAATGTGTTAAATTATAATTTAGTGAAATGAGACATTGCTTTTAAATTGTGGTTGAAAAGAATCACTAAAAAAAAAAGAAAAAAAGAAAGAAAACTGTCCAGGCAAATTAAAGCAGTGATTGTTCAACAAAATATTAGTTTATGGGTCCCATCTTGCTTGTTTGCTTGTGTTTTTTGTTTGTTTTTTAAATATTTCTGTTGAACCACAATTCAAAAACAATGTCATGATTTTCAATAATTTTTTAATGTATTTTTACTTTTGTCAATTTCAACTTATTTCACTGACAGCTGTTTTTTTTTCCTTCTTTAATGGTATAAATTAATTTGAGGACGACTGTATTTATATAGGCAAACTGGGAACTACTCTAATATAAAGTATTGTGTAAATATTATGATCTAGATACACAGATTTATAACTTGCATATTATTCCAATGTTTAATTATTATGAGCCACTGACACTCACAAAACATTACATCTTGAAATCCACCGAGTTAACTGCTGCTGAGGCACATTTAAAAGTGACAACAACTTAACGAACAAGACTCACAACCCGCAGGTGTGTTATTTGTCTGAAGCAAGAACAAACATTTGTCATTTTGTTCTAGTAAGTTTTGCATCATTTTCTCCACTCATCGGAGGGACTATTTAAATCTGGCGCAAGAAACATCGCATTACTGCGTCGTTATCCGGCGGCAGGTACGTATTTCTTAAAATAACGTTTGTTTACGAGCCAACAAATCAAAACTAAGAGCAGGTACAGGTTGATAAAGGCTTTACAAGTCAAGTTAAGCAGTCTCAAGCTTTTAAAACAAAAAGACAAACATGTAAACCAGCAGTACAGAAGCCGTGGACGGGTGTTCCCCTCGTCCTAACGTACCGTTGCCCCTCCATGTCTGTATCCAGCTCTGACGTTACGTCGGTCGTCCGCAGAACTCATTGAATTCTCCGTTACCTTTGCCTTAAAAGTCCGCCGAAACACTCCGGGAAGAGCTGCGTCTAAATTACGATTCAAGTGTGTTGCTCCTCTATTCTTGAGACCTGGAACTCAAAATTTCCACTGGCGTCAGGAATTCCTCAAGGACGACTCCCTGCGCTGCTGCCTGTCCGACCGCCGCGTCCCAAACTCCCAAACTGCACGTTTATTCCCGCCCTCTTCCTGATACTTCACGGACCCAGCCGTGCCTCTGGAACTCCACTCATCGGAGGCATACGGGTAACTTTTTTCCCCCCTAAAATTAAAATTGATAGTGGGTGTTATTGTGATAGCCCTATCAGTACTCACGTTGCAATCGCTTTTTAATTTCCCCTAAACCTATGCTTTTATAACTGCCAGAGTATATCTAGTTTTTCTGTCTTTCACATAAATATCCGCACAGTATATCAGTTATTTGTTATTGTTGTCATTTTTCCCGAGCCACTTTGCCCTTTATATCTATAATCTAGCAAATAATGGTAATGGTTGCATTATTTTGTCAATAGTTTTTAAATGCAAGAAACTCAAGCCTTCGCTATGTTGGAAGTTGCCAAAATTCCGAGCTGTCCTGAATGTGCTATAAAAACCAACACGGAAGTAAGCAGAGGAGCTCCCGTGTTGCTGCAGGCATGGTTGGATTAGACCCTGGTCTCAAAATAAGAACAATGCTGTAAAACAGGTATTTTTGTGAACCTGTATTTCTCACGTCCAACACGCAAACCTGTGGTAAGTACTGACAATCAGACACACAGCTACGCTGCTAACGTTAGCAGAAGACGTATTACCGGTTAGAGAAATCCATTGTCTCCGGCCTTGGTGAGTCCCATGAAATACTACCTGAGATCATTCAAAAGGGAAGTAAAAATCTAGCCTGAGGAGAAACTTAGAGTTATTTTCGAGTACGTTTGTGCAGCCAAGCTAAGTTCGACAAACAAGGAATTTGAACAATGGATGAAAACAGGTTTTAAATTGACGTTTGTGAAGAGGAAGAGACTTACTGATCAGACTGCTGACAGTAAAGACTTTGGATGTGAATGTTCCAGAGTTTGTGGATAGATGTGTTGCAGCTTAAGTTTTTTAATGCTGTTACACAAAAATGAATTCTATTCACCTCTATTTTATTGATGCATTTCTGAATCAGATGTCAAACTAAATCTAGCTTTCAAAATGATTCCACTGGGAGGCAGCCAGAGATTCTCCCTTCCTGAATGTTCTTTATTGAATTAAATAAAAAAAGTTTATCCGAAGCACTGTATAATATCAAAGGACAATAGTACAACACCTCAGTTGTATAGGCTTATACCCACATACACTGCAGTGGTAGAGCATTTAATACTTCTATTCATTATTAGCATACCAGATACCAGACAATATCTTACAATGGACGAGCCCCCAACTTGTTGCGACTGGCTCTTAGGCCACAACAAAGGAGGAGATGCACACAGAGGTTCTGCAACTAAGACTAACAGACTAAGACAAAGAACAAGCACATGGATGGCTGGATGTGAGAGAGAGATCTGGCTTAGCAGGTTGGCTTATATAACAAGGGATACTGGCCAGGTGTACCAGGTTGGCTGGTTGTAGGCTCCACCCAGCCAGAGACCTGCAGGAGGGAGACGGCCGAGGCTCTGTGGCTGTAACACTATCAATATAACTGATGGTTCAGGGAACACTTAGATTCCTGTCATACATAAAATCATTTATATGCATTGACCCAAATAAACTATCTACTTAGAGGCTTAGGATAATAAATGATGTTGTCACTATTAGGCTGACTGTCTGTTGTATTTGTTTACTTCATTCATTAGATTAGTTTATGCTTGTTGCAATGCCACTACTGTAGGTATTGTTGTATTTAAGCAGCATAACTTAGTCTTTAAGTCTTAAAAAACCTGAAAGAAAACATTGTTCAGAGGGGAAAAAAGTTTGCTGAAAATAAAAATGTATTGATTAGAGCTCAACCAAAGGACTTAGCTCAGCTGTTGGCTGGTAGAGAAGCATTTAGGTCAATACAATTACATGCGATCATAATGCAGGAGATTGAAATAATGAATGGAGTCACCTGCTGTGCCACCTTTATAAATGGTGTTCAGTCCCTTTTTCAGTTTGGAGTGATGCTACAGCTGTTTGACAGAGTCAAAGAAAAGAAAAAATTCTGCTCAAAAGCTTGTTTCTGTAACTGCATGTGAGGTGGTAATTCTGGAGGAGAGGAGACTGAACTCCACCAGAGTCTGATTTGGACGTCAGGAGACAAAGCTCAGCTCTGATGGGCGTGGATGTAAACACTTTTAAAGCCTCACTTTTAACAGCTCTGAATCAATAAGTTCACACCTGTCTGAATTTTACATAATAATGCTTCACTGTCAGGCATATTCAGACTCATTTGCCACTAATTACCTTCATGTTTCTTATGTTTTTATGTAATAAATAATGAATTGTACTGTTTTGCAGGTCATGGCTCAGAGGGAACTGAAGGAAGCGTTTGTCAGTAATCTCAATGGGACCAGCCTGGAGGAGGTGGCACTGGGCTCGTTTCTCTCACCGGTGTGTCTTATCAACAGAGGGCTCATTATGATCCTCTACTATCAGGCCAAAGGGACTCTGCCGCTGCCACTTCCACTGATTTCTCACCTGCTTCTAGACTTCTCTGTGGTTGTTCTTCCTCTCGTTGTGTCCTGCACTGTTCTGAGCAGCGCCCTTGTCCAGGTCATCACGAGCCTCTTCTTCGCTGCAGCTTGTATGTTTTGCTACGTCTACAGCACCAGCAGTCGTCCTCCTGCTCGGCACCCGCAAAACACCATCAGCACCTTCCTTCAGAGTCACGTTCAGTTCGACCAGGTTCCCTTTGTGACCCTTTTTAGAGTGTTTGTAAATGTGAAAACAAGCATCAGCATCCTCGCCGTAGACTTTAGTGTCTTCCCGAGGCGATATGCTAAGACGGAGACCTACGGGACAGGGGTGATGGACTTTGGAGTCGGAGCATATGTCTTTGCAAATGCTCTCGTCAGTCCTGAAGCCCGGAGGAAGAACATCTCAGGATCCAGGATAAGTCATATCACAAAACAGGTCTTGTCTGTGTGGCCCCTGGTTGCTCTTGGGATGGGAAGACTAATTAGTGTCAAAATGTCCGGCTACCACGAGCATGTGACAGAATATGGTGTCCACTGGAATTTCTTCTTCACGCTGGCCATCGTCAGGATTGTGGCTTCTATACTTCTGACTGTTTTACCAGCCAAGCAGCTGTGGGTCTTTGCCCTTCTGATGAGTGGATTTTATCAGTTCGCTCTGGAGACGTCTGAGCTGAAGGCTTTTATTATCCACAACAACGACAGAGAACAGGACTTCCTGCATGCTAACAAGGAGGGACTGTTCTCTGTAGTGGGCTATGTAGCCATCTACCTGATGGGAGTTCAGATCGGACTCTATGTGATGCAGCCAAGATCTCAAGTTAGAGAGTGGCTCAAAGCACTCTGTACCCTCCTATTGGGAAGTTTTGTCCTGTATGCTGTCGTGTGCACAAGTCAGACCCTCTTGGAGCCAGTGTCTCGCCGCTTAGCCAATCTACCGTTCTGCCTTTGGACTGTTGCTCAGTCTTTGTTGTTTATGTCCGGCCTTGGTTTAGCCGATATGGTTTTACTGTTTTCCAAAAAAACAGCTGGTTGTTACTTTGTGCCCTCATCGTGGAATTTGTGTGAAAAACAATCAGACTCTGACAAAGTGTCTGACAAAAAGAGGGGAGAAGTAGAAAGACTGTGCCTCATTCAAGCTGTCAGCAGGAATCAGTTGCTGTTTTTCTTGCTGGCAAACGTCATGACAGGACTGACCAACTCGGTGGTGGACACGCTCAACTGCAGCAGTTCGTTTTCAGTGTGTGTTTTGCTGTTGTACATGTTCATGAATTGCTTTGTAATATATGTTTTACATCTCTGTGGAATTACAGTCAAATTCTGGTGAGGAAAAAAAAGCATTTATGAAACTACGAGGTTAAAGTTTGTATTTTAAAGGGAATTTGGGGGGAATGGAGTGACAGAACGTGATATTCAGGACAATTACAAACATTGTGAACATTTAATGTTATAAGAAGTGATCTGTAATGCTAATCAAACTGTGTTACATGATGTTTATTTATTCCAATGAATACCTGTATTATACGTGAACATGTGCATGAACAAGTGAGATTCAATCGTTTTGTTTTTAACAGTCTAGCCTTTGCTGCTAATTAATACGCTCTGCTTATGTTTGATCAGACTACAGTTTGATGGATCAATCAACAAATTTTACAAAGCACTTTTCAAATGAGGTTTATGTGCTTTACAAGTGGCAAAACATGGGATGTTAAAGGGCAAAATATCAGCCTGGGCACCTGAGGCTATAGCGCTGTATGTTTTGTTGTTGCTGTTTTATCTGTCATTCCGATGATGCATTAAACCGCTCAAAAAAATAAGAAGATATTGTTGATCAAAAATGCAAGTAGCCTACATTTTGTGCTCTGTGTGTGTCCATAAAGCAGCAGATCTATTTAACACTACGCAGCACTTGTGCATTTTGTATGAGCGTATGCAAGCACCAGTTGTGATTGTTGCCATCTGCTGGTAGTTTGTGACCTAATTCACTAAGATAAAAGCTTTTTGTAAAGGAAAAAAGATGAAGACAACAAGTTGCATGAGAAGAAGAAGAAGGGTGGGGTGGGGTGGGGTGGTGGAGAAACAGTTATCTCCTGTTACTGTAGTTAGATAAGTTCTAAGGATAAACACGGGAAGAACTTTCAGTGTTTTTTTTGTCAGCAGCAAAGACAGAAGCTTTGGTCTGATTATCATTAGTTATTTATTTTGGGTTATTGTGTTATGGAACTTTATGGATGAACTTTTAACCGCCCCAGCATGCATGCACGCCTCCTCTCCTGGGCTATTTAAAGTGTTGGTCGCCCAGACTGCAGAGTATTAATAACCTATAGGATATACAAATCTCACTCCAGCTGACGACCCTGTTGTAGCTTAGTGGTCTACAAACATTTGTGTCTCAAGGCACAACTTTACATATGAATAAAGCTTTAAATGGTCATAAATAAGACTAAAGCCAAGGTACACATTTAGATAACCGCTATTCTAGCTGATTGTACTCAGTGTGATAATAATGTGGACCATGGACTAAGCATAGAAAGAACAAGGGGCAGAGTGTCTCACATTTTAGAATCATTTTCCTCTGAAAAACTTTGAAAACTGCAATTATCATGAAAGAATTCTTCTAAAAAAAATGCATTTATTGTTTTTTATATAGCTTTTATTCTTACATAGTCTATACAGAGTTTCTTTCATTTATATTTTCTACGCTAACACTTTTTTAAAAAAATCTATTATTTTACATATATATTCCCTGTTTTTGTTCTTTTTTGAGCCTACTGCAATGAAATTTCATTCTGATGTGCACTGTGCCATGTAAATCTGAAATGACGAATAAAGAAAGTCTAAGAATTCTTCACAGATCCATTTTATGAGACAGATGCATAAGACAAGGATGAGCATTTCTGTAAGTTTCAAACAATATACTACCGTACCATATCAACATACAACACATACTATAGGAAGGTATGAAACACAAAACATAATTACACTGAGTGACAACTTCCAAAAACACACAGAAAGTAAAAACCATAAATAAATTCAAAAAAAAATTACATAAATACAATGTGTTAAACCCTATGATATGAGCGCTAAAATATCAATGCCACCTGGGTGCATGAGTTTTCTTGAAGTGCTCCATCTTCCTCCCACGATCAAGCCATGCATGTGAGGTTTGTTATTGATTATAACAGCGTGAATGTGAGCGTCCATGGTTGTCTGTCTCTAAGTGTAGCCCTGTGATGCACTGGTGACCTGTCCAGGGTGTCCCCTGCCTTCGTTCTGAGTCAGCTGGAATATCTCCAGCCCCCCACGACCCTAGTGAGGATTAAGTAGTGTATAGATGATGGATGGATGGATTTTACTCTAACTTTTAGTTTTACAATTATCAGATGACAAGCTACAGGTTTATAGGCTGGTTTAAGCCCCAAATGTTTTAACAAAGCCTCTGGTCAATTTTTAATTTCCTCAACCAGAAATAAGGCCTAAATGGTTTAAATCTAACGTCATCGAGAACATTAACGTATACAGAAGTGATTATTAGAGAGAAAGGACGAAGGGAGGGGCGGGGAGGGGAGGGGCCACAGGGGCCCCATGGCCCCTGCTGGAATCTGATTGGCCCCCTCTCGTCCCTCCCCCGGTGGAATGCTTGTCTTGTGATTGGGTAGTTTCTTTGAGGAGCGCGAGCTAGTTGTTCCAGCGCAGCCTTATGGGGGAAGGGTGAACAAAGTATCGTGGTGGTGTTAGTGACGGTAGCGGCTGGAGTTTAAAACAAGCACACCTCGTCTCTCACTTCCTCTTTGCACTGACGGACACGCTGAGACGGTGAGGGCCAAATTCAAACTTGCGGTAAATTGAACACAATCGAGTCGCTGATGTGTTTTGTCTTAACTCGTAGGTTTACCCGTTATCTTTAGCTCATAATTTAACATTTTGATGGCAAAAAGGTGGATGGCAAATAACCGTCAAGCGGTTCCTGCATTAATGATTATGTAACACGAAATCTTGCTATGGTGTGTTTTTCTTCTTTTTCTTCTTTTTTGAAACAAGGAAAATGTGCTAGCGTTAAATAAAGACACTTTACGTAGATATTTTGGGAGCAGCCAGGGCATTCCCAATCCGAAGTTTGAGTTGCAACTGAATGGTGGCATGTAGTCTTTGTTCCAGCGGCGGCGGGGCTCAGACATGTCAGAAAGAGGCGCAGTTCAGGACTCCATGTTCCCATACGTAGAGGGTCTCTGGGGGTCCGCTGGACCCCAAGAAAGAATATGTGCAAAAATAATCGTTGGTATTCATTAGAGACTTTTATACGACGTTAAATACGTTTTCTAATAAGTTGACATATTTTTGGCTCCAAATGCATATTTAAAAATAAAATCTTTAAAAATCATCAAACAATACCTGTCACCTAAACCAAATGGCCTGGGGTCCAAAAGAGCCCAAAAGTCCTGAATAGTTAAGAAGAAGCCATGTGAGGGTCAGACCAGTGAACCCAGACAGGTCCAGGGGGACGGTTCTGAGGACAGGCATCCAAAGCAGGACCAGTCCAGCAGCTGGAGCCCATCATCAGCACCACAGCAGGACAGACAGACGTTCCTCAGAGCAAATGAAGAACAATGTTAATATAAAAGAGGAGAGCATTGTGTTTATGTGTGTATTTACATGTACATTTACAACATAAAGAAGCAGTTATTGTACATTCCATATTGTACAAGTATGTTCTGACCAGAAACCTTTTCCAAATCACGTTTATTTTGTTAGATCTATTTAATCAGGTTACGTCTATATTTAGTTATACAATGTGAGTACAAGTAAAGAACACTTCTGGAGAACATCTACAAATAACGCAGTAATCGGGTGCCCCCCAAAATATAGCATCCCCCCCCCCCCTAAAAGTAAAACCTAGAATCGCCACTGACTGAAATCCTGATCGCTTTATTTGTGTGAATGAACACCGCTTTTCTCAAAATAACCCTGAACTGCGCCCCCTGCTGGCCGCACGCTTCACGACGTCAGCGTACGTGCGGAGGCCAAAGGTGAAATCAGTTATGTAGTGTCTGCCACCGCAGCAGCCTTACTCACCGTCGCACTTGTTTATTTTTTAGGGGAACTTTCACAAGAGGGTAAGTGAAAACAGTACCGGGTTTTATTCACAATTACCTTGATTTTACCAAGGTTGCAGATTCTGGCCAATCTTTCAAATGTGAGTAGGAAAAACTGACCAAAGTGACACTCGCTAAGTAGCCACTCACCCAGTTTAACTTTATATTAGCCGTATATTAGCTTGCTAACGTTAGCCTCATGCTAACGAGTAAGTTAGCCAAGTTTGCTGGCATCGACAGGGCGTAGACAAACTAAGTCGGTATTGCTACACACCTATTATTTGTTAAGGTGTTGTAAACTCTATTGTATAGTAATAGCATAAGGGTATTAAGCACAGAATACACCGACCGGCTTCCTCAGTTTCTAAAACGGCAAATGAAATTAGCTAGCAGGCTAATGTTAACTAGCTAGTCGCCGGTATTTGGTTTATCGAGCCCCGCGGGTAGACGTTAGGGTGATTAAACCTGTCTTCATAACTTAAACAATTTGGGACAAAACGCCTGCATATAGATTTAATCAATTAAAACATGATAACCTTTCCTCATCCGTGCTCTCGTTTCCCAGGTTGTTTTGCTAACTTAGCTGGTTAAATCTGGGTCAAGACAAATCTCCATTTAAGTTACAGTCACGGTGTTTGTAACCGATTGTCAGACGTTGGTAATTTCAGTTAGTGCTTAATATCTTGCGCCGTGTTGAAATCTCAGGTAATCAGTTAAATAGCTTTTGTTCTGGTGTCAAGAAGGTGTTGTAGTTAGCCCGCAATGACCTGCAGTAGATTAGCATTAGCTCTGTGTAGCCGATGCTCGTGTCACATTTGGTCAGTCGGTCTCTTGTGTGTAACCTGCAGACGAGCTGCACCACAGCCCCGACTGCAAGAGAGGATGGCACGTCTGGTAGCAGTTTGCCGGGAAGGGGAAGAGGACTACCCCTTTCTCGCAAGACAGATTCCCTTGTACATTGATGACACACTCACGGTTAGTAAGCTTTTCCACATTTGTATGACCACACGGAGAATGTCACTGAAGATCACTGTTACCTTGCCAAATGTTGTCTTGTGACAAGATATGAACCCAAAGATTTAAGGACAAAATCGTAACTCTGATTATAGTCATGCATTTCACGTGTGCAAGGAATGTGACACAGGGTGGTCTCAGGAACATATTTATTCCCCTCTAACTATTATCAGCGCAGATTAAATGAGTCTTTGAGAAGTTTGATGTTGTGCATTAACTGTTGACTCTTATCTCTTCCTGTCAGATGGTGATGGAGTTTTCTGACAGTGTAATGGATGATGACAGCCATGAAATAAACGCTTCTCAATGGAAACAATTTTCTGAGGTGAGTAATTTTAATTTTACACCCCATCCCTCCTGAATTGTGGGAAAAAAAAAAAAACATATTTAGGGACGCAGAGACCAAAAAGTGGCCAACGTTATGCCACTTCTTCTGTAGTGATATATGCGTTTCTACAATCTTATGCTGCTTGTATTTTATGGACACATACCACTATCCACTGGCAGGATTTTACTTTATATTTGTCTGACACACTGCATATAGATCTTGGGTATAAGCTTGTCATTTTTGCCACGCATTTCATGTGGCTTTCTCCTCCCATTTTTGCTATCTAAGTGTTTTTAGAATCCACTTCACGATGGAAAATAATAACAACAACAACCTCAGAGCAGTAACCTACCACGAATTTCTGAGGATTTAGGTCCTGCAGTAAGGTAGCACTGATCATTTG